AGCATCATTTTTTGTATCGAAAAAAATTATGCATTTGATATGAGACATAATTCGACGATTAGGCGATTTGATTATATATGTTATTACCAAAACAAAAATTAAGATCGAGGAATTTTGTCACAACAAATGCTAATCATCATTCTTCGTCATCGCGATATCATGAATTTCCGTAACATTTTTGTTCAAATGTAATCAAAATCAATCAATTTCAGGGGCTTTGAAGGATCTCCTGCAGATGCAGAGAGTAGCGATGAAGAAGATGGTTCCTCTAAAAATACAGAAAAACCGAAAATACCGCGAAAACGATTTCCATGGACTGATGAAGCCAAGTATGTTACAAAAAAATATCACTTACATGTGCATTTTGTTATTTTTACTTACATGTACAAATATAATGTTAATTTTAGGAAACTAGTCCTTGAAATTGCTAATGCCAGGAGACATTATTTCAAAATTCTTAGACCAAGAAAAGAGAGTATGGAAACATTTGTTGCCACCTTTATGGATACTAATGTTTTGCCATTGTGGCCAACTGGTTGTGTACGATTGCAGACTTTGTTAAAATATGCTAGTCCTGTTGAACCTGTGTAAGTATTACATTACACTATTAATATATTATATTTATTCTCATATATATATATATATATATATTAGTTTTTCTCTCTATAAATGTGATAAGAAGATTTTTGCTATTTGTGCTTTGCTTTGCGCATGAAACTATCTTATTGTAATTTCTTCCATTTTCACCAAGGTGAAAGGAATATGTATGCCTGAAAAGTAAGGTCCTTCAAAATTGATTTTATTAATTTCTTTGCAAATTTCGCGATTTGAAGCGAAAATCAAGAAATCTGGCACGTTATCCTCATGATGTCAAGTAGTTAGTTGGTTGCTTCATCATTTGATCATTGTATGTTTTAGGTGATTGTAGTGGATTAATACTGAATTTCTACTTCTTCACTCATTAACGGATTCCTAGAAAAAAATCGTATTCTGCAAGAATCATATTCAATTTAATGCATTTCTGTAGACTATGAGATTGATTTGTATGCAAATATTTAATGTCGATACTAAATTTTTTTTGAATGCTTTTTTATTAATTTCTTGTACATTAACAAAGATCGCATGAATTATTTATTTATTTGTTGTATTCAGCATAAGTACAATTTTTCTTTTATTATTTATTTATTTATTTATTTATTTATTTATCATTAAATATACACACAATATAAATATTTTACGCTTTTTTCTTTTATTATTACACACACAGCTTGGCTTTTTCCTAATATTTATGCAATCCTTTAATGTTGGTTTATATGTTGATTTATCAATGAAACTAATATGATTTTAGCATTAAGAAGAAATTGAAAAAATCAAAAGAAATGGCCAATGCAAACAATGTCGCCACTTCTGGGAATATTCAAATTTGCAATTCTGTTGCAAAGAATGATACGGCAAACGTGAATAATGTTGCGTCTCAAGAAAACGAAAAGACAAACGTATCCAAAATTCAAATTAGCGGTGAAACTTCAACGAACTTTGCAAGTCAAGCGACAACAAAATCTAATGACATCAATGCCGATAGGAAACAACATAGTAAGCATAAAGATAAACATGTAGAGAATAATGGTCAGCAACAGGAAAGCGCTATTGTTACCATCAACAATTCCACAGTTGGTAAAATTTCCGTCGTACCTACGGCACAACTAATGGCTCAAAAACCAGTTAAGAGTCACATTGAGAAATTTAATCTCATGGATTTAACAAGCAGCTCTCTGTCTATTACACCTGTTAATGATTATCACAAATCATCAGCAAAGACAACCGAAACAAAAAAGGATGTAGTTTCCATTACAGCGTGTCCGGATCCCGTGAGTCTTTCTAAACCGAACGAAATTTCTCAAACTGGACATCATTCCGTGTATAGACAAGATTCCTATTCGTCAGCACAGGTATTAAAACACAGATTCCTGCAAGAGAATGCTGATGCTAAATGCGACAAGAGATTAGACGATAAAGATGTCGACATAATGATTAATAAGACTGACAAAAAGGACAAGAAAAGGGAACGATGTGTAGAAATTAAGCACAAATTGTCACATGACCCAAAGAAAAGGAAGAAGGATCAGAAAGTGATGGAGATAGGGCCTATTACTCAAGATGTAGTGCCTATGCCGCAGCAAACAACTCTTTCAAAGGAGGAACAGGAACAAAGACAAAACGAGGAAACTATCGCTGCGACTAATTATCTCAGTCAGATCATAAATGATGATTCCTCACCGCGGGGATTAACGGATAAACGGAAAGACTTTATTACAGATGATAATTTAGGAAATATGGTACAACCGACAGAACAAGAAAAAGATGTCCAGATGGTAATGAGATCGTTAAAGGAGTTGCAAGAGTTACAAGAAAGGAACTCTCCCAGTAATTCACCAGGCAGTACTACTCAAAAACCTGGTAAATCGAATGCGTACATTACTTATCAGGAGGATTATCAACGATTGTACCTCAAGAAGGAGGATAAGGTAAGATCTAAGGAAGAAACGCAATGGTAAAAATGATATTATCAATTGAAGCGTGAGTTATGAATACTCGCGACGATCAGTTATTATTTTCAATGAGAGACAATAGGCGGGACTCTCAATATTTATGTAATTATGTTTGTTTCGTATAAATGATTGAAATGAGTGAAAGCTGATCGGAACTTCTTCCATTTATACGCGCCATACTATTGGCGAAATAAAAAAACAACAGTCGAGTAGCGATCATATTGCGGCGCAAGAATATTTAAATATTTTCAAATAAAAACCGCCAAATTATGTATATAATGAATTCGCTAGCGATAGTGTCGGTTGTATATGTACAGAGCAAGTATAAATTATATAAAACTTTAGAGTACTCGAAAAAAGAGCGTATAGACTGGGCGAATGACGAGTGAACAGCAAACGTGATATCATATATATTTAAAGATTTAGTACTGCTTTATAATCGGACGCGAATTAAATGTTATCAAAATATTTTGTTTACATTCGTTTGGCGTGCGTATTTCTAAAACTAATGAAAATTTTCACATTTGCTGTTCGTTTTTAATTCGTTCAGTGTACATACATTTTAATAAGTATTTGTATATAAGTGAGCAGCGCGTCCATTCGTTTCCGTGAATTGGGTGGTCTATATGAATTTTATTTTCATTTATTCGACGAACAGCCTGATTTTTTTTATTGTGATTTTTTACTAATTATCTAATAACTGATGTCTAGATAATATTTTTAGTTACGTATCTGATACTTTGTTTTAATTATAAATGTAGGCATTAAAAGTGCTTTTTTTTTCTTTTTTTAAATAAATACTGCCACAACGTGGAAGGGTATTATTAACGTCACACAATAATTGCTTTATAACTTATATTTTTTGACCACCCTGTATCACAGAGCGAGAAAAAAGTGTGTATTGTTCCTTTTTGTATTTCGACCGTTATTATCATGTATATTATACGTCAACAAAGAGGGAGAACAAAGTTTAGTTTGGAATATATGTTTGAGAATTTAACGAAATTATATTATTGCCTTCCAAATTTTTACGCATAAGAAACAGACAAGTGATTGTATGGAACTAATCAAAATGTGAAACCATAGTATCAGATCTGTAATTACAAAAGTAAAAAGTCAAGTACAATAAGATACTTCCATTACATCATCTTTATGCTAAATTTTTTTTCTTTTAACATCACAATAAAATATATGTATCTCTTCAACGCTTTAGAGTGTTGGAGGCTGGAGTGCGATTATTATTAGATTAGCTCAAAGAATGTATGTGCGAGCATTCATTGCTTTCTCAAATTGCAAATTTGTGTGGCTTTGTATACGGCTTGATTGAGTAATAGATATAATAGATAGCGTGGGAAAAAGAAAGAATGTGAAAAAAATAGAGAATGCGAGAGTAATGTTCGGAGAGAGAAAGGGAGAGTGAGAGAGACAACTAGATTATTTTTGGAACACATAAAGATGACTAGTACTGTATTATATATTATATACCTTACCCTCCTCCCTTCCCATTTTACCCTTATGATACTTAGAATACGTCTTGTACAATTCCGCATTGAGAATTTTCACTAAGACGACTTTTAAAATATAAGTTTTGAATATTTTTTACAAAAGTTATACAATTTTTCTACCCTTTTCTTCAATATCACATGATTATTGTGATATGTATTTCACGTTATTAACGTCTTTTTTTATTAAAGTTTTTCTTTCCATCACAATCACTGGTAAATGCAGTATGCAAAAAGATCCAACGCTGTTATGAATAGTGTATATGATAAAAGCGAAATTTCTGAAAAAATTTTACAAATTGTACTTGCATTGTTACTAATTATATTTCTTGTACAAGCTATTCTATTGACTTACCGGAATTTTCTTCTTGTAAATTTAAAATGTTATCATAAAATATAAAGTGCATCATCGTTATATAAACGTTAATAGCATTCGTGCAAGTTCGAAAAATCCACTCGCATTCTGAATGTAACTCTTTCTCAGGCATTTTATAATAATTACTCTTAATTTTTACTTTTACATTATGTCATTTTCCAAAATAATTTCAAAATCAAACGATAGCTCAGTATAGCTCGTTTTTGTTTTTTTAAAATTGCAAGATTTACAACAAAATTTACAGAGTGTCTCGAAATCATCGAATACATAACGACACTACAGAAACGAGGTAGACTCAATTGCAATTTGACCTTTGCCGAGTATTATATGCAATTATTCTTATCAATTTATATTAAGAATATTATCCTGCTAATTACATTTTTTATCTCATATTTATATTTTTTCTTCCAGTCGGTACCGATCGGGAAGGATGAAGTCCAATCACACCGTCACATCCTGCATTATCAATCGGGCGGATATTCGGAAGGGAGTTGAGCCTTCCGTTGAGCATCGTCTCTACCATCGCGGATCCCGTGACGTAACACGACTCAGCGGTTCGAAGAGCGAGCGGGGGTGGCGGAAGGGTAGAGAGGAGACGGCGGTCCGATGTGTGACCTTGCAGTGTTTGTAAACAGACACACGTTGCCGTCGCGAAGTGTTACGAGTGATCGCCATCGCGAGCCACCCCGTGTTATTGTTTCCGAGGAGCGACGTGCGAGGGGCGCGCGCGACCTGGCAAATGGAAATGGAGCCCATGTGCATCGTGGAGAACGAGACGGTGAGTTGGTGACTTTTCAACAATCGGCCGTGCGCGCTGACAATGTGCTCGCGCGTGACGCAAACCTGCCATAGGAGAAACGACGGGTCTTGCGTGCGCGCTCGGCGGGATTACACCATGTTGTGCAAAGAGGGCGCGCCGATAAATTTTAGATTCGCATTTCGCATTTCGAACGATCGCGTTCGATTTGCTTGAGCGAATCGCATTGTCCCGACGTCGGATGGTAGCGGGGCACCCCAGTTTGCGTTGACGGAGGTCGCGGGGCGGTGGGAGGCGGGCGAGGGGTTGCTGTTTAGCTGGCCGATATTTCGTTCGTGCGGTCAAGCTGGCGCCTGACGGAGCTTGACATTTTTCGCGACAGATGGCGGGGTCTCTCGCTCGCGCTTGCGATCCGTCGCCGAGCGATGGCGCTGGCTCAGTCCGCAAGTTCGCGCCGATTACGCGTGATCGCGACCGTTTAAAATCTTCGTTTCTGTTCAATCGCGGGTGATATAAGGCGCTGAAAAGTCTCGTAGTTTCGCGAAAAGTGCGCGCGTTATCTCGTAGCATCGTTCTCTGATAGATTTCGAGTCGCGTCGTTGTTCGGAGACGAAATTACGTCGGACAAAGTGTCCGATGACTCTCGCGATTATTATCCCGAGTGAATATGCGCGCGAAAGAATTGCGGAGTGAAGTTGAGCGTGCGTCGTTAAACATTGTGCGCAGTCGCGGTCAGTCATGACGAACGTATCGACAAATATAGAGTCGCTCTCGAATCGTCCCGTATTTGTCGCTCGTCGCGGATGAATTTCGCGCGCGGAAGACCAACATCCGCGGCTGTCGAATCGCAAAGTGCCGGGCGTTCGCGTAGTGCGTGTAATCGCGCATGATCCGTCTCCGGGATCTCCTCTTTAACAGTGGCTGCGGCCAGCGAAATCCCGTTACCCCGAAGTCGTGAATTAAAATGGCCGCGGGATGCCGCGCGATGACGCCAGCGTCATCTTCGCTCTCGTATCGCGTCGCGGGCGCGCACCGCGCGCGTCACGTCCCTGCCGAGAGCCTCTTAGCCCGTGAACTGCGCAGTTGACAGAGCCCGCACGACGCGTAGCAGCGCACCGGTGAGTTTTCCTCCAGATATATTTTCGCGCGCGGGCTTCGCCGCGTCGGTCCGCCGACGCGTCGTCGCGACGCCCTTAGCGCGGCCACCGTCGCCGTCCACCGTCGTCGCGTCGTCCGGATAATTCGCGATACGACGCGCGGCCGATCCGCGAGAAAACGCCTTATATGCACACGCGTATGCAACGTTTCGCGGCGCGGCGCGGAGCCCTCCGTGCCCCGTACTACGTGTGATGTGTCGTCGCGACGCGTGGCCGTGCATGCGTGTGCGCGGTCGGCGACGCGAGGAAACTGGGTCGCGTGCTCGTTTTCTCTCCTTTTCTTTCTCTCTCTTTCTCTCTCTCTCTCTCTCTCTCTCTCGTTCTCTCGCTCTCCCTCTTTCTCTTCGCGATCGTAATTCATGAAGCGTCGTCGACGCCGGCGACCGACGACGGTGGCCGCGCGAGAAACCGGTCGATTTCGGAGCCCGCCGCCGCGGGCTTCCTCGTCGCCTACGCGCGACGCTACTGCGCAATTCAGCGTACGCACGTCGCCGCCGAAAGAGCGGTCGTCGTCCGCGATTTTCGTGCTCGAGTCGCTCCCTCGAGCGATCCGCGAGAAATTTCATGCGCTATTCCACGCCGAGTAATCGGAAACTATTTTTGAGATAAATTGCTTTTCGCATGTTGTACGTAATGTATCTTGTTTGATAAACTGTCTTATATTCGCAAAAAAAATTGCGTCATTGTTTTATCAGTGTTCGTTTGAGGACGAAAACGCATGCGTCGTATAAAGAATTCGGTTTCAGCGTGCAAATAGCTTTTATCAGATAGAGATATTTCAAGAAGCTTTATATGTGTATATTATATACGTATGTGTGTGTCGAAAAATGATTAATTTTAATTTTTTGTCATTCAAAACTAAATCTTTTCTGGAGCAATTATCATTCGAATACGCGGGATATAGTGTTTACCGATATGAAATTTTTATCTTGTATGAATCAAGTTATCTTCTTTAATTTGCGCATAAATGTATACATTTAATTAATCTTTTTTTTTTTAAATATGTTAATATTTTTTATTTGTACTTTGAATATACGGTACAGCGTCTGATGTATGAATATTTAAATTCAATATGATAATGATTTTATCTGCTGCGTATTAAGTTATATCTTCTTACTCCTATTAATGTCATTCACTGTTGCCTTTTGTATTGATTCTTGCATCCTCATCAAAAAAATTATTTATCGATTTTTTAAATTATTACGTAAAGTAGCGTTGATTAAAACAATTTTGAAGTTTATTCCTTTGATATTTTATTAAAACAGTTATGAAGTTTATTTGATTCTTATCAATGCATTTATATTAGAAATTAAAATTATATAAATTGAGAATTTTTATAAAAATTTCTCTAAAGAAAAGATTCTAGATTTGATAAATAGTACGTAAATGAGGGTATATAAACGTATTAGGTTTAAAACAATTTATATTTTATTACATTACAAGGATCTACTTGTCTGCCACCTCGGTTAGTTAAATAGAAAGAGAAATAATTGAGATTTGCAGACGAAGGCGTCGAGGTAACGGCACCTTTTAACGAATCCGCAATATTTTCTTCACGTTCCTTGGAAACATGGTTCGCAATCTCGCGAATACGAGCGAGGGAATTACGATTGTACGTGATCGTCGTTGTCCTTCGTTGCACTTCTTCGAGGTATTGATGATGCGCACGCTACCTGAAACGCTTCGATGACCGAGGTAAAATATTTAATCGCAGTCACAATAATGAGAGAATATATGCGATCTTAAAAAGGGAGACGGATAACTCTTTGCTGTGCAATTATGCATTTTGCGCAGTTTCTATCATTGTCATAACGCGGCTTACGTAATTGTCACAAAATAGCAATTTCCGTGCAATTTCGAGTTAAATATTTCTCAAACTTAGCAACATTCTTGTGAAAAAAATCAATTTCGAATTGTTCAAAGAATTGATACTGAGAAGAAGTGCTCGATTTTGTTTGAAACACCTTGTATATATGTATGAAACATTTCAAGATATATTTATTTTTTGATTATTTGATTTTATATATATATATATATATATATCTTGTTGGATTTTAGCAAAACTTTAACAATGCGTATCGATCTTGTCGTTATCATTATCATCACTAGTAGAACTTTAGCGTTACATTGCCGTTGGCGAACATCATCCTAACAATAACGAATCCTCACGTCTCAACGTCGTCACTCGTACTCTCGATCCCAACGAGCTAAGTTATCGTAAGAAATCTTCCAGATGCTGTAGCATTGTGCAAAAGAACCTTTCACCAGGTGCAATATCGCGATATACGATGATGTTTCCAAAAAGTAGAGTTTTAATATATTATAATAATGCTTTTAAATTTGTGATATAGCGAATTTATCACTACATTTATGAAAGTTAATTATTTGATTTATTTTTTTTTAAGTATTCGAAATATACATTATAAATTTCGCATATATATATTTAATTATATCTACTTATTATTATAAATAATTATAAATACAATTGTGTTTAATAACTTCTTCTCTTTTTATTATATTAAAATCTAACTTTATTTGAAGGAGCATATGCAAATTTATATACGAGATAAAGTTATGTCTCTCAATTTATACTTACATTTTACACTTTTGCGTTCTTTAGGAATAATAAAAATAAATTAAAAACAAATTTTCAAGTAACAGACAAATATATAAAATTATTTTAAGCATTTATGGCAATTTTTTTAATTACTCAAATTTGTTTTGTCGCCGTTTAATGTATTGTTCTTTTTATAAAGCATTTTATAAATTTACAAGTTTGTCATGTGTTATATTTGTTTCACTTTTACTGTTCGATAGGAAAAAATATTTTGATATATTGAATTGTCATACGCGGCGTACAAAGTGCACACACATCGCGGGGGTTCATCGTCTTTCGAGTCGTCGGCATATTGAATCATTCTTATTTCCGTTTATATGCGTACTGCCTCGGCGATTGTAATATCTTCCATCGACGTCAACGCGGAGAAAATTTATATCCACCTCGAGAGATATTCCGAGATATTCCTCTTTGTCTTCAGGATCTCTATCCTTTTTCACACACATGCGTATGCGTTCTTTTCGCGCGCAGGCATACATGCATACATGTATATACATATGTATATACATATGTATATGTATATCGTTTGACTTTCATAAATTTTTGCCGACGACGTAGACGAATGCGATCGCATAAATCCAATCGTGCTCTCTTTGTCTCCTTATCAGCCACGAATGCGAGCAGGAAAATGTTACGTTCGTTTCTATGTACTTTCCTCGCACTGCTACACGATAGATACAAAGCCGTATGCAATTTTATCTTAGAACGAAATTGTAGACGCGAAGTAAAATACATAGTTGAGAATCTAATATTGAACAAGTTAGGATGGTAAAGCTAAGAAATGGAAGGTGAAGCTCACCAAGTTATCAAGAATTTCGCGACAACGTAATACAGTCATTTTTTTTTTTTCTAGTTTGATATATTTTCAAATGACTCTTCAATTTGCTTTCTTATTCTAATTGCACAGCATTGATTGGAGAAATACGACGGATTTTTATTTTAATTTTATTTTTATCGAACATATTTTTTTTCGGCGCGTGATAGGTGAGAAGCGCATGAAATATGCGCGGCGAGGGACGACGAAATTTACGCGATTTTCGCGCTCACGCAACGATTTCGCTCGCACTAGCCATTGTGTTCGCGGAACATCCCCGTCCATTGTTGTACATAACGTCGCTGGAGCAGAAGCGGCGCGGCTGGAAAATTACGAGGGAGCTTTCTCCACCTCCCCTTTCCGTGCCTCCTACTCTCTTCCGGTTACGCTAGTCGGGACGAACAATGACCTGGAAAAGCTCAAGAAAGCTTTAAATCGCGACTGTACGTTCAGAGACCGGCACTATGTACTTTCCGTCGTCGCGATTTCAAATAGTAGAGGAGAGAAAGAACGCGTGATATCGCGCAAAAATACCGTAAAAATACCGCAATAATAACACGAAGTCGGATATAACAGTTTCACGAAGTAATTTAATCGTATAAGCGCATTTTTAAGAATCCAACTTCGTAAGCACCGGTTATTCACGCGTGATTATATAGAATCTAAAATCGTTTACTCCGAAAAAAAATATTGTCGAATATTTTGTAAAGCGTCACGAAACTTCTCAACTTTTCCCCCCTCGAGCGCAAAATCCGCTTTACCACCCTCTCAAAATCGTTGCCGATGGGATTGTAACTTTTGTAAAAGCTTTCAGCTGATGTAGATCGTTAAAAAGTCTTACTACACGAACGAACGCAACGCGACGACGGTTAAATACGGTGTGTATAAATTCAGAACCCGATGAAAATAATCCTCTGCTCGAGACAGATAAGCGTTGTTGCATATCGCGCGCTGGGGGAAATGTGCACTACCGTTGTGTAAGCGGACTAAGGGGATTGTGCAACCATCGAATGGAGGTAATAATAAGGTCGTGGGCACGGTGAATCCGGTAACTCTTGCGTCGCGCATTCACCGTCCGCCATTTATTATCATGACGCACACGAGAGAGAGAGAGAGAGAGAAAGAGAGAGTGTATTCAGCGCGATGTATTGTGTGAAATGTTGACGAAAACTTACGTAAATCGTACATCGTAAATTCAGTGTTTATACTCGGCGAAAATTAAGATTTTATCGGCTACGCAAATTCGCGGGATTTTATACCCGCGTGAATTTTAATCGCGGAAAATCGTCGACGGCTTTAATCAGAGTCCTCCCCTTTACCGAGCGGCTAAGCGAGGCTTTTTTTTTGCACGGTTTAAAATATAATATCGCGGTCGTGGATGTTTCAAGCTTTCGATGTCAAAAGACTCTTCTCGCGGCAATAAATTAGCGTTAATCGCCGCCGGGTGATTACAAAAGTTTTGGACACGCGCGAAATTTTCGTCGTAAATCATTCCGCAAAATGAGAATTCAAGACGAAAGAGTTAAGCGCGGAAAGAGTGGCCGGCTTTCACGCGATCACCGGTGGTAAAACGTTCCTATCCTTCACTTACGTTTACTTTGTTCCATTTCGGTCCACTTTAGTCTAATTTGTCTAACGTCCATTTTTCGCCAAGCGTCGTCTTGAACAAGGTAGAAGAAAAAATTGCGGTAAAACTAACTAGAGCCCTCTTTTGCGCGCGTGTCTTCCGGATGTCCGGTTTCGCCATAATATTCTCTCTGTTTTCGTCTCGTTGAAGGGGAAAAAAGGCAAAAGAGGGCGAAATTGCGCTGCTTGGCCGGCAAACTTGATTGCTGAGGCAATTATAAAATCAGTCAGGCTAATAAAACCGTGTCAAACGTTGGAATTTGAAGGAATTCGAGTATAAAAAAAAATATAAACAGCAGAGAAAAAATGACGCGATATGGTTGATTTGAATCATAAGTGTATTTGAAGAAATGGCGCATGTAACAAATAATAAGAGGAGCGGAGAAGCGTAAAAGCGTAAAAGTTGAAGCGTAACTAATGCATTTAAGAAGGTCATGCCGAGAGGCTATAAGAGTAAGTTGGAAGTAATAATGAAAATTAATTGCGAGCAGCACGCATATCCTCTTCGAAATTCGAGAGTATTATAACTCGAAAAAGCCGGCGTAAGAACTAGTAGGCGGCAAGAACGGCGGTCGTAATTAAAGAGTTTTCTCTCGAAAAGCGATCATTCGAGACTCATTTGGTGAAGCGCGAAGTAGGAATGTGGTCTAATGAATGGCTTTTGCTCGGGGTTTTAAATTACTGGTAACCATAAAGGGGAGAGCACGTCGTTAGAGTTTGATTTTGTGCACAGCGTAATATAATCTATCCGCACTTTTCGTTCTTAATTATCGTGTAAAGCCGATGAGTGAACGCCCTTTCCCTTCGCGATTTTATACACGACAGTTATTCAGTTTAAATTAGAAGAAACTGTAGATTCGATTTTTTTTCATTTCTTACGATTTTGAATTTCTAACAAAATAACGCAACGAAAAAGAGTTAAGTCCAGTAAATGTTGCCGAAAGGAGAAATATTTGAAAATTTGATGAAGTTGATAATCTTCTGTCTACTGAAATGAATCGAGAGTTATTTATATTTTAGAATAATCTTTGAGCGGATTTCAGGCGAACTTTTCAACTATTCTGCATTTACACGCTAGAGAGTAAAATTTTAATGAAGTTGAATATATTTGGAGTTTTTGCAGCAAAAATCAGTTTTCAGTTTGAGTATCTGTATCTTTGTTTTAATTTAAAAAGGAATGTTTTTCGCGCATCTTTAATATGTTTCCACATGGGCCTTAACGTCAGATTGCTTTGATTAGAAATTTCATTTTATGAAGCTATCCGAATTTTTATACATGCAAAAACGCTCTTTATATTTATTCAGTCTTGTATAAATTATGTTTGTCTATATAATATTCCGCTTTTGCCTCATTACTCTTTAATCCCGCGGCTATTTTAATTTTTAACATTATATGTATTTTTTAAAATCACACAATTTAAAATTCTGTCATGCATAAAATAAAATTTGCTGAAAGTAAACTAAAAAGACTACGATTCTGCCATTTATTTTGTCTTTTGAAACTTGCTCAGTCAGAATATTCGCGTTGTAAATCGTTAATTACGCGAAAATTACAAATATCTCGATAACTTTGTTCGACTAAAATTCATTCCGCGTTAAATCTATCGCTGAAGAATATATATGGCGAAAGTTATATATCCTGTAATCTGTAACAGAAATTTATGCCTCCGCGGTTATCGACTCTGATATCTCTCAGATTAGCGTTAACGGATGTCATTCAATCTGAAGGTGTAAGGGTGAATCATATGGCTACTACGGGGAGAAGCGTGCCGCTGCATCTCCTGGATATTGTGGGCAATATGCTTTACGAGCATCCGTTCTCCGGTGCAACAACGTAGAATCGAGGATCCGTGGCAAGACAACGGTTAAGGGTTCCCATTGAAGTGTGTTCCAGCTTGATTAATGTTAGAGTAGAGGAATATACGCATAGTCTTAAATTCGGCCGAACATCGTCATTATTTACGAATTTTCTGATTAATCTCCTTTTAATTCCTCTTTTAATAATAAAAAAAATTTATTTTCTTATATACTTTAGAGTATGTGATCGCTACAAGTGCAGAAAATGTATCCATAAAAGATAATAACATTTTTACTTCGTTGCTTTTAGGGCAAATACGTTTTTTCTAGACGAGTTAGCTTCCGTAGCAAAAAGCACGTTGTGTCTAAAAGCGGTGTGAAAGCATTATACGCAGAAGGGCTTGCACATTATGAAGCAGACTATCTCGCTTTTATCTTTTTGCCATCATCGTAGTTAATCCAAAAAGAGCATTTTCTTAAAAAAGATATTAATTTGTGGTACAATTTAAAAATTCTTGATTAGAAGAATATCACATTTTGGCATAACACTTCCGTAACAAGAAGAATTGTGCGTAGAATATTTCAGCTTTTGTATTGCAGAAAATCAGATTAGAATATTGATAATATGCTAATAAATATTTTTCCCTATGCAAATACAAATTAGAAAGATTAAAATAGATATTGTCTTTCCGGAAACTTATACTGGTGGTCGTCCAATTTTCCATAATGGCATCAAATAATCGGGTTTTAGATAATTGAAATTACTTTTTAAGCGCGACACATTGCATTACCATGCTTGTACTGATAACAATGAGAAACGTATCAAGAAAAATATCATAAAATTTTATGTTTGTACGACCGAAGCTTACATTTCTCTGATAGCCAGTGATCGTTAAAATCGCAAGCGCCATGAAAATTGGCTATATAAGTAGAAATCGATTATATGTATGAATATTCGTACACGCGGTGTCCGTGAGAAAAATATTATTAAAAAATTTATTGCATATTTTTATTTTATACAATATATCAACAAAATATCCGATGACATATGTTTGACAGACTATCAATTTAAAAATGTGTTATATAATGTGTGTTTCTCAACAAAATACATTTTTTCATAACACAGATACGCTCAAATGCTTGTTTCATTGATAATATAACCAGACAGATTCTATAAAATTGATAGAAATTTGGTTGAAAAACATGTAAATTGGATTTCAGATTTTAATATTCCATTTTTATTTTCCATATTTTTTTCTATTTTTCCGTAAATAATATCGAGAGACATTCTCTTTCCGTCATTTATATGATTATGACGCAAAGAGACGTAATCAGAATGCGCGTTTCGCACGTCGATAACCATCAGATATGCTTTATGGAAATTTTACATCAATGGGATACTCTATTCTGGCACGCCATTTACTGACGCATTATGCACGCGCTCGCACTTATTCCGCATGCTGTGGAAACGTTTTCTGCATCGGAGCGACATTCATAAAATGGTCGTTTATCAAATCCCGGAAACGAACGGATTGTTTCTTGGTCGTTCGGATGTACGTCGATCAGATGGGTTGTCGTATGCAGGAAAAGAAGTCGAATTTAGAATATATATATATATATGTGTACACGCTCGCGGGTATGTCTCTGTGGGATGTGATTGCGAGTTGCGAGTGTGTGACATGATAGAGACAAGGAAGTAGACGGAAATGTCAGTGTCAGCAAATGTCTGGTAGATTCCGGAAAGGTTTATAGCCGTAGATCGTCCATATTCCATGACCTAAATATGATTTCATACGGATGTATGATTGTAGAGACATTCGATGGTTCATTTTTACTTTTGAACTTGTATTTTTTTCTCATATTACAGACGTTATACTTTTATTAATTTAACAAATGGCTTAAAATGACGTCAGAACTTCGAAGTGATAATCTTCTATACTTTTATAAATGGCTCTTTGCAGATATTACATTTTTTAAAATATCCATATCTGATATTGAAGATAAAATCAATAAAGAATACTTGATATAAAGAATGGTTCATTTTATTAAATATATCAAGGCTTCTTTTATTTGTGATTCTTTATAGCAGATTGCTATGGTAGACTAATTATAAGATATTTTTTATTTTTAGCTTGCGGCAATTTGCAATTGATATTATACGCGTTCTCGCATATTTCTGTTTGGCTGTGTATCTTGTAACTTAATTAAAAATTTTTTTTATTTATTAAAACAAAACAATCTAAATTTGCATAACATTTAATATAAAATATTTAAGAACATGTAAAATATTACATATTTACATAGTATTGATTTTTGTGTTTAAAAGTTTAAATTAAAATTCTATTTAAATAAAATTAATTTATAATTGAAAAATAATTTATTTCTATTTTAGAAAAAAAATTAATTATTATTTCTTATTTTGAAACTTTGAAACTATATCGGATAACTTTTTATTATTTAATTGGCATTTATATTTACATTAGAATAATTTATATAGTATAATTATATATATTTATATTATTTATATATTATAGAAAAGAGTCATCTATAACTTGATAAAAAAGAATCTTACGTTTCATAACGAGATGCTTATATCTTTATCGTACGCTTCGTCATAATATTGCAAGATGCAACAAAAAGTTAATTAGCAACTCTCTGTTCACATATATAATACGTTCTCGATTTATAGTTGCATAATTCAACTCGCGAGTTTTCGCGTTCAAAGTCACCACGTGCGTTTTTTTATAGGCGCGAATCAGTTCCAATTATCTCGCACAAAAACATACGGGTAAAGAAGCCGGAAGTGGTCGCGGAACAGAAACGGGATTCGGGGAGATTTAATACCAGATAAGATTGAAAGGAACGGATAGGTCGGAGCGATAAATAGCGGTTTTAAAGGGATGCGAAATTTGTATTTTGTCACCCCTGAACGCGTATGCATATTTAAAGGCAGTGGTATGTAACAACTGCGCCCGAGGGGCATGTAAATTTTAATGGCTCGAGTGTAAGTCGGCAAGATGGTGAGTTTTATCTGGTGCGTGTTCACTGACCACAAGTTTCCCGTACTTCCAAGACAGGAAGATTGATGGCGTGTGTATCCTGGCGTTTCCGCTTGTCTCGAGGTCACTTCTTATTAGTTTTAAGTCACATTTCAATTATTTCATCGGGGCTTCTATCGAAAATTATTTAATTAATATACAAAGTATCAAATAGCGTTCATATTAGATGCTAAAGATAAAGTCGAAACTCAATATAGTTGAAATTTCTATGAAATAATACGCTGGCTTTATGCACTCGCGAAATTGCTCCTCCAGGTAATTGTGCCGCGTTGAAATTATTTCCGCGTGCAGACGCTTGTTTTTCGCCACGGTGCGAAATGCATGCAATGAGGACCGCGCGCGAAAATGCATTTCGCGAAAATGTATGCACGTTGCTTTCTTGTTTGACTTGAAGCAGTTCGTACGCATAGCAAACACACATATACTTTACATAAATAATATTCTCGGGACAATGAGATTGCGACATATGATTGACTGCGTTGACTTATAATAAGGTATACATTATGCTTCGTGACGAATATGCGATTTTATAAACAATTTATATGCTATCGAAGTGACTTGCGCGAATAATTACATGTGAAACATTCTATAACAAATATAAAAAGTATATCTTATGTCACTCTATATTCAAAGAGAAAAATGTACTTAAATTTTGTATTAAAAAAGAATATTTTTGGATTTTAAATTTCACAAGAAATAAACAAACATATATGTGTGCTCTATATGTTTTACGTTTTGATAATTTAAAAATATAAAACCCGATATAGATTGCTGGGTAAAAGGAATAAAGTAATAAAAAATACATATAATAATAAAATAATATAGATTAATCAATAATTCAGATTTGTTTCGCGTATTTCAAGTTTTGTTAAAAACAAAATCAGATAGTGCGGATTACACAGAACGAATAAAAAATACAAAGGATTGATGCAGCTGATCTAAAATTCGCGTTTGCTCAACTCTCTCAATTTCATTCGACAAGCCGGATATCATGACGATGGTAAAGCCTAAAATTGACTGAATGAACGACTGTGACAGTGAAATGAGCGTTTGTCAAACATCGTTTGACGCGCGCGCGCGTGCACGCGAAAATGAAACTCGTGGCCACGAAAGAAGAAGATGTTATTGTTGCTCGACTGCAATTGCCACCTTTGCGTTTACGATTGACGACACAGTAGACGATTTCATCCCCGAGATCTTTTTCATGAAACGGTGAACCCCCGACTCGATTCTCAGCCTCTGCTCTCTTCGGTGACACAATGAGCTTTTGTTTCCATTGAAAACGACACTGCCGCGTGTTTCGCCCAAGATATTAATCGAGGCTGGCGGAACTCCGGTGCGGATCAAGCGGCATTATAAGCGGCCGTGTGTGCGTGCGTACGTGCGTACGCGGCCTGATTGAATCGTAAATTATCCCCTGGCGAATTATTCATGGCGCGCTTTCGCTCTTTGGTAGGGTAGCGTAATAATCCAACCGGGCGTTTTGTCAATTTTTAATGCTCCATCTCGGTTCCTCGCGCAAGATTTGTCACCGCCGCGCGGCGTAAATATACCTACGGTACGATCATTAATCACAGGAACGCCTCTCCGTAGAATTATTTACTAGCATTTCTATTTACATAATCGGGAAAACCGACTGGCAAAGCCACGTAAAATGGATTGGTTTTAGTGAATAGTGCGACTTATATCTTCTCCTCTCGACGGTATCTCGACTATATTTGAGATCCAAATGTATGACTATTTGCTCTATTAATTTCCATAAGATATATATCGCGTTGTCTCACAATTAATTATCTTGTCGTTTTATTTGCAGGAGGGATCTCGCGGTGATCGGAAAGAGGGGGGCAAGAGGGGACGCAAGCCTGGAAGGAAGGCGGCGGACAAGGCGGACATGAAGGCTAAGCTCGGTAAAGTATCTTCATCAAGTATATCTGTTGACATCCTTGATATTTAATTGAAATAATTTGTTTCGTCGCTGTTTTACTTGTAACGAGATTTCGTCGATAATAGATTGTCTATCCCGATTAAAATTGTGATAAATTTTAGTCGCGTCAATTTTACTGAACGATTGCGACAATGTTATACAGTGATTAACTATTTTGAATAATGAGGAAATTTTGAATCATTAATTAAGTAATCATCATTAAGATTCATTAATTATAAATTGCATCCGCAGTTTGTCATCGTTAATCATTGACTAACATCGTCATTAATAAACATCTGGTAATCATAAAATGATAGATTATTGCTATTATTAAAACTGTTTCAATAATGCACGTCAATTTATATTGAATTAAAATCATAACATTCCCTGGTTACTGACCGACAATTGTGATCGATGATTGTTTTTATTACTTCTTAATCGGTAGTATTTAAATATAAATCCATGTTTAATTACTAATTGTTTAATCACTGCAATAATTAATTATTGATTTGATTATTCAATCATATTTTGGTTATCTCTATTGTTTTGATATTTGCATTGATGAATAGTATAGGCATATAATATCATAAATTATACATGTATGACACTATTACTGAGAGAGATATGTAACTATCATAATTTTATGTCTATCGATTGCAATCAAAACATTTGGACTAATAACACATCGTAAGATAAGAATATCCCGTTAGAGGCACTTTCGATAGAATTATTAAATATTCTCACGAAAATTTTTATCGTATAATTTCGAATCGCGAAGAGCCTCGAAGGAATAACAGCACAACAGATGTTGACTGTTGGTTGCTTTATCTCCATTCAATGTCTCGACTTGTCAGCGTCTCGCTAATCCAAGATGCAAAAACTCGCGTAAAACAGAAATATAGCGTGCTCTACGGGATAGTGGAAACTGACACGACCGGTAGATATCGGTTCGCGCCGACTTATGCATATACTCCGTGGCATCTCGATGCCACTACCGTCTCTTGATTAAAGCATTTGATAGCGACGCGCGCCGTCCTCCCGAGGACCGCGTATCCGCTGATTGCGCGAGTTGCCGTAGTTTATCTCATTCGCGAATGAATATTTATACCGGCGTCCCGCGGTGGGGCTCCTCTCGATGCCAACGAACGCGAGGATTACGGCGCTGTTCGGCTATTTTGCAATTCCGTCGTTTTGCGGAAAACCGAAGCTCGGAGCTTCCGTGCAACAAAAGCGGGAAGGAAAAGATATAGAAGGAGCGGCGGATGAAACTAACTCTCCCTCTGTTACTCTTGTATCTTGGTGGCCGCACGGACCAACAACGGGGTACGATTCTAGGGGATTATTTCTGGAACAGACGCGCATGGTCGCCATTCGAGAACGAAACTTTATAATCGTCCCATGGGCTATTCCGTATCTTCTTTTTTTCCGCCTTCGTTCTTCCTCCTCCTCCGTCCTTCCCATGGGAAACGCACGATGTTCAAATCTATAGAAATGTCGGGGATGTTCTTCCGGAATTATAATCTTATACTTTGCAGCTAATTATTATTAGTAATACATTTTTTCATATGCGAACTAAATTAATTATTTTCCATCGAAACATAGAAAATTAAGAGAATTAATTTGGACAACAAGATTGTGTTATTAAATTTACATGTCCAAAATTGATTAGCCAAGACCATTTTAATTTTGCAATTTTGTAGACCAGATTGATTACAAATTATTTACTATGTGAATTTACTTTATTGAATTTATATTTTTCCGTTAAAGTAAATAAATTTGCAAGATACTTTCGAACGTTTTTTTTATAAATCTTAAATTTGCAATTATTCTCCTTCGACAAACGGTTATTTCCTTTTGAATCTTTTACGTCCAGAGTATTTGGCACGATTACAGTCCGTTAAAGAACAACTGTATTTTCCTCAGTTTGCTTTCTATCCATCATTAAACAGGCATTCGATACTCGCATACCGACGGAAATTGCGCGTGAGTCTGGTTCCGGTAGCTTTCTTGACCGCGCGAACGAACGAATAAACTCCGGAGCTCCATTTTATCCGGTACGCACGACTGACGGAATCTCGGCTTTATTTAAACCCGTTCGGGGTTCGCCTCGATTCAGTCCAGATGTCGGCCGTCCCAACGAGATCTCAAATGGAACCGCAAATTGACTGTGAAAGAACGCTTAATTTCCGCGGCGCGCTAATATCGATTTTCTCAGGCGTGATGCCGATTGCGCGTCGGTTTCAATCGGCATCAATGAATCTTTTTTCGATAAAATTTACGGTGCTAGCTGCGCCGATCGACGTTTACGAATCGCGAAAAATCGGTCTGATTATGGGTGATGGAGCAGGAGTACCTTTTAAAAGTCTGGAATAAGACGAGAGACGTTTATTGCCGCTGTAAAAAGCGCTCCCCGATAAAGGATGAAACGATAAGCGTGCTCGTGGATTGCCTCTAAAGATGGTTTATTTTCATCTAACGCGCGAAATGATTTTTGAAAAAGAAAAATAATTTCTGCTACTTCTGTATTTCATAATATATAATAATCTGAAAATCTTTCTCGATGTTGCACGAATCTCCGAGTTTACAAACTTTCAAATCTCGGATCTGGAATGTAATGGAAGAGAAAAAAAAATACGGGTTTTTTAAAAAAGAAACATTCAAAAATTCAATATCCGAGGAAATTTCAGAATACAAGGTACACAGAAATCGACGATCTGATAAAATTGGAGAATTGCAGAATTCAATCGCGGAAGATTGGAAAATTGCAAGTTTTAAATTGCACAACACGCGCGCGCGCGTTACATGAATTTTTCTGTTTTAGTCTCGCATTTTATCGAACTCGATTTTGCTCGACACCTGATATGCGATACGTTTTATTTCCCTCTTATGTTGGAGCAAAATCATAGCTTATCGTCTGCCTAAAAGTTTTCGCTGTTCGGTCACATATGCCGCGGCATTACCATGCGTCTTGCGCGTTCTGCGACATTATTAAATCCTGAATTCTTGTAGAGCTCGTGATATATATCTGCCACTTGGCCTGCCATTACGTTACAACCTGACGCCGAAAACCAGAGAAATTTATGCTCGGCGCGAATTTTGTTGAAACTTTAGTCGCACCGGTCTCGGGGATCAGCCTGCGTTTTGCATGTATTGATTCTCCATATTAATATGGATTAATCTCACTTCCATTCATTTGCTGTTTTATTACAGAACGGAGTCGGCAGAGTGCGAGGGAGTGCCGCGCGCGGAAGAAGCTGAGGTATCAGTACCTGGAGGAGCTCGTAGCCGATCGTGAGAAAGCAGTAATTGCTCTACGAAAAGAGCTCGAAATGGTGAGTCATATTTTCGACCCTTTTTAATAATTGAATAAAGGAGTAAAATTGAAAAATTCCTAGGAAAGAATCCAGGATAGAAATAGTTAATTTTTTCTCTAGAAATATTGTGCATGTTCTTTTTTTTATTCTCATTTTTCATGATGCTGGAAAATATTATATATATATGTATATATAAAATATTTTCTAGTATCATAAAAAATGAGAAAAAAAGAACATGCACAATATTTCTAGAGAAAAAATTAACTATTTCTATCCTGCATTCTTTCCTAGGAATTTTTCAATTTTCTAGGGTAATAAAAAATGAGAATAGAAAAAAAAACACTTATTTGCAATATAAAGATAAGATAGATTTTCTTTTTTTTTTCTTAAAAAAGAATACTTCAAAGTTTTTAGAATTGGTTATATCTCAAATATCACAAAGCAAAGCTAATTTTTTGGAAGCTGGAGAACTTCTTTTCCATTATCTTTCTCATCACCTTTCTTAACCTTCCTACGAAGTCCAAACTAAGTTACTCGAAGAAGTATAAAGTTTTGGTGGAATACAAAGGTTCGTTCTTTAGTAACATGGAATAGGAATATTATTCGCATCTACAATTGCTTCTACAGAGAACATTTATTAGAATTTATTAGAATTTGTTGGGATTGGTGGAATTATAAAATTATTCACATCAAGTACATTGCTTGATTAATATTGTATTTTTTATAGATGTTCGCTTATGAAATCTCTTACAAATAATTTCGTAATTTTATATAGGAATTGATTTTATTTGTATTTGATTATGCTTGATAAATATAAATTCGATATTTTATAAAATTAGAACAGGACGGAATATGATAAAGGTAAAAACTTTGCTACCTGCGCTCGAAATTATGAAATCGTATTATCCATTGATTATTGATTGAGTTCGTTCTTTGCTTTTCGTCGAAGGGGACGCTTGTTAACGAAATGCTCTGAAAATATTTGACGTCGATGTCTGCTGATAGAAGTTAGTGTATCGTTTCATCGAAAGTTCTTATATCGACAAAGCTGCGCAGATATTGCGAGTAAGAAGAACGGTTGAAAAGTTTTCGACATGATTGGCGCTCCTGTCCGTCCACGAAGTCATTCTGAAATCCTTTTGATTCCCCAAAGATCTCCGGCACACAACAGCTTAGTACGTACAACGAAGATTCGACTGAGGTGGAGCTTACGTCCTTTACACATCACCATTTGTTATCTTTCTACAGTATCGTCAGTGGACGCAAGAATTGGATGCCGGACAAGTCCCCGAAGGACTACAAGCGATGTTGGAGGAATTCGGCTCGTTGAAGCGGGAACAGTCCAGCAGCAACTAAGCTCAAGCAAGGAGGCGAGGAAGAAACGTGGATCGAGCAGTTTACATTGTTATTTCGATCGAAATCCCCCTCTCGCATAATCGAGCTTATTTTCCGTCTTCTCTTCTCTTCCTTTCTCTTTCACGGTTCTTCGAGGCAGTAGACTATTTTAATTGGCTTGCAATTTGAAAATTTCTCTTTGCGTTCCTCTATTCGCTAATTTGTTAAAGAAATCGCAAATGTAGTCGATTTTTCGGTTTGTTTCGACGATTTTTTTCGTTTTTTCGACTTTTTTCATGCGATAGAGAGATTCCTCTTGTTATTTTCTCTCGATTTTATCACGAAAAGCGGAATCGTCTCGAATTACCTCGTTACCTCATGCGTTATTCTTTTTTGTACGTACGTTTTGTTATCGCGACTCGTTGACACATATTTTTTAAAGCTCGTTGATTAAAGACATTGATCGGTCGATTATCTACGGCCTCACGCTTAAAATATACCTCCCTCGTACGCGATTGTTGCGCTGTAAGAAAGTATAGATATATCGCTGTTGTTATACGCCGCGAAAGAAAAAAACAATCGTTGTGTATCATACAAAGTCTATATTCAGTGTCTGTTCAAAGAGCGTCGTTGCGGAAGCTTCTCGTTGACTGTTTATCGATTTGTTTAAATTTACTGACACACGGTATTCTTGTACCGTGGAAAATTATCATTTTGTACAAATCTCAGCGTCATTACAAAAGTTAATTCGTATATGTGTGCACGGAAGAGTCTAATTATCGAATAAAACCGATATTTTTCGATGAAGATTAACTTATCGACATTTATTGTCCCTTATTATCTTTATTGTCCTTTATAAACATCGTAGTAACGTCATTTAAAATTTCCTCAATTTTCTTGTTTGAAAATGCAACATTTCTGTTACGTAAGAATTCGCTCCGATTGAGCGAAAATACGAATTTTTTTTTCTGAATCTCACGCATGTGGAAATGCATATCCGTCGGCGTTATTTCGAAATCGTATTTTGGATACTGCGATTTCGCATCGCTTTTGCGCGATAAAAATTTGCATATTTTGACGTAAAATACGTTGAGCTATGAAATCTTTGCTGCCATTGGCATAGATTGCAATGCACGATATCATCTCTTGCGTTTATTTGATGATATCATTCGGCGATCCGTTGGAAAGAAAAAAAATAGATCCAATATCGTTGTTATCGCGTTCAAAAATTTGAAGCGATAAATTTTATTGCGCAATTTGATTTTAAGCAGCTCGAATAATAACTGAGTTCAATATCGCCATGTAGTAATGATCATAACAATGTTATAAACGGTGACGAATTAAATGTCATGAATAAGAATCTATAATTCGGAACCGTAATTTAATGATCATTTCTTTTATTCTTAAATTTTAATTTTTAATTCTTAATTACTATTTTTTGATCACTTGGTATAGAAAAGTAATGAACGCGAATATCAGATCAATTTATTCAAATATTTAACTTTATGTCAGTATTAAAAATTTAATGACTTTAGTCCTTAAAAAGATTACTATTTTTTTTGTTTTTTTATTTTCACTTCACAATATGTGGGAAAGTGATAATAGGTATGAGTATCAAATCGATTTATTCAAATATTTTAGCTTTATGTCGCTATTGCTGGAAATGTTTTGAAGTGATGTTTGTGCGAGATTTTGATTTCCTGTTTTTCAAAAGCTATTGATATCAACGAAATAACACGGTAACGAAATAACGGATAACACGAAAAATGCGAGGATTATATGAATTCATATGACTCGGATAGAATTTTTGCCAAATATATACATTCATAAATCACCACTTCATCATGCACACGGAATCAGACTTTGCTTTTTTATTAAGAAAAGAATATTTGGACTCGGTTATGTTTCTCTTACACGCGAACATTGCTCGGTAGGAAAATCCTGCTGCTGTTATAAAGCGTTAAAAAAGAAGAAAGTACGTCTCCTTTTTCTCGCCATAGGCGAAATAAATCAGTATGTTAAGCGAAGTATAAGTTAAAATATTACCTCGTAAATATCAAATTGTACTAAAGTACCGAGTAAAGAACCGAGTGGCTTCGCATTGTTATTAAGCTTGCTGTGTATAATACACTTTCCAACATGATGGCTTTTGTCGTCTTTGAAGATGATATATTTTAGCCGGTAATTCAAGTCCGAAATAACTTTTCGGATAAAAGACTACCATACGAGTCAATTCTATCTAATAAATTATATCGCATACTATATATCAGTACCACACTAATAATACTCATATTGGAATTTTAATGAAAGATATTAATTAAAGAAATATACCTTTTTTGAAATATCTTTTCTCGAGAATTTATTCGCGATAAAATTGCATTAAGGCATAAAATAATTAAATACACCTTCACACATGCATTTTATATCCGTAATGTATTCCGTATTTCAATGCAGAATTAAAAAGTAAATTTTTTTTTCTATAATTATCTCACTTTTTTGCGTTGTTTCCAGCAAACTGCATTTGATGCTCTTTCGACCTCTTTTACAGATTTTCGAGAGAAACATTAACGGTACTTGCATGGATCGTAAAAATTTAGCGGTGCATGTGTATACATCTCACACATGCATGCGTGACTCGTACTCGATAACGATAATGATACGCAATTCTACGCACCATGAACCGCGAACATTTAATTCCGTGTCGCGGAAAACGTGCGTTCTAGGTGGAATATGTGTTGGATAAAGTGTAGTCTTGCGGTGTGAAAAAAAGTGGTAGTCACGTTTGAGGATGCGGAAATAAGGAAAAAAAAATATGATTATTTAACGGAGCGAAAAAATACTTATAGCATCTGTTCCTGATCTTTTCCTCGTGTCGCTTGGAATTTATTATTCCGATAGCTGTGCCCGAAAATATTTTCAGTCGATCCGTTCCTTTTTTTTCTACACTCGCACACTGTGACAAGAGTCGCAAGAAAATTCATTGCATTTTGCATTTATAACGTCTTACTTGCAATTATAATTTTAATTCTCTGATGCATTTGAAGATAATCTTCTCTTAACGCGAAAACGTCAGAGTTCAATCAATAGTTTCAAAATCGTAATTGAAAAAAATAACTTTGGAAATTAAATTTCAAATAAAAGTTTAACAAAATTTGATTTCAAACTCGACTACAAAAATAAATTGTTATTTATATATAACATTATTATGTGATATAAACATATATGTAATAAAACTTATGAAAGAAAAATTGACTCCAAATACATTTAATAAATTATTAAAGTGTTAGAAACGATGTCTATTGATCAATTCATTGATAAGTTTCGTTAAAGAGATTGCGGGTGACGTATAGTCGATAAAGCGGTGAAGAGAATAAGTAAATGAAAGCTATTTTGTGCGAAACGAGCGACATGCAAAGCCCAAGAACGTGAGCTGAAAAACGACAAGTAATTCCATTCTAACGTCTTATCCGTCTTTTTTTTTCATTTACTTCGAGGTGAATCGCTGTCGCTGCTATTATTCTAAACAGTATTACACGCAATCAGATCATGATATTCAATCTATGATATTATTTCCTATTTTAAAGATGTCACGAACATAGTGTATAAGATTTGAATATTTACATATAGTTTAAAACTTAATAATTAATTTTACATATATTTATAAAATTAAAGGAATTTACAAAATAATTTATTCCTTGTGAAAGCATTAATATTGGTGCAATGTTTGTTCATGAATAAATAAATCAAAGAATTTGTAGCTTTAAATAACATTATATTTGTAGATAACAATACATTTTTATGTGTTTAGTATTGATTAGAAATATGTAGAATATTTACTCCATTGCAAAAAGATGTATAGGTTATTTTTTGATATCGAAGGAATCAAGATTTACTCTTTATTATCTTTATTTGCTTTTTATTATATACTTATAAAAGAATCTATCTTTTTTTTTTCTCGAAATTAGAATATTAGGAAGTCAATTGCAGAAGATATTTTTAGGTCCAGTTTATTTGATTCAAATAATGAAAAGATAACGATTTTTAATATTATAAATAAATGAGATACGAGTCACATTACTAGGGACATCTTTCATGCGTATTTTGCGCTACTCGAAGATGCGTTTATCGCTTATAAATATCTACATTGAAAACATTCATAATGATTTATAAATCGATATATTACATCGATATAATATTATATTGATATACATTTTTATACGCGTTTATGATGGAAAGGAGAGAAACTACCTTTCTATTATTTCTATTATTATTATGTTTTGCAAGCGTCTGCTTTCTTTTACTATTGAGCAGCTAAAATAAATAATATATGTAAAATATGAATATCACATGTCTCATCTTCCGCGAATATCAAAGATCGTGTTGAATAATTAAACAAACTATGTATAGCATATTTCATAAAATTTAACGTCAAATTTCATAATCTCTTCCAAGATTTAAGAATTGTAAGAGATTTTTCATGTAAGCTAAAATATAATTATGCTTTATTTAACGTGGAAAATTTTTACATGTCGACAGATTAAATTATCCGAAAATTAGTTTTATACAAAAATCCTTCTTTAATTTTTAAATTACTAGTATTTTTTTATTTTTGTGTGCGATCTGTAATTTAATTTATGGATGTTATCACAAAAATCCTTCTTTAATTTTTAAATTACTAGTATTTTTTTATTTTTGTGTGCGATCTGTAATTTAATTTATGGATGTTATCTCGACAAAAAAATTTCCAACCAATACTAACTGAAGTTGAATTATATATCGATCGACATGTGTTTGTTCCTAATCCTAAGGAATGTTTTCTCTTATAGAATGACCACTTTCCGATAAATCGAACGAGATCAGTCGAAGATACTTGTGCTGATTCAATCGCGTTGCGATATAATATTCACGAGCTTGGTTTCTGGCGGGTTGATCTCTACATCTTATTGCTCCGTGATAACCGACGGTTGTTTAACCCATGAGACCGAAGATTCTCGGTAAGGTTTACGAGCAATCAAAGTTTACGATTGACCGAATCATAAACCTGCTTCTACCGCGACGAGATACGATTCTTGATCGTATAAGCTGAATCCCGAGCCGTTGGCCAAATTTCGAGCTATATGTTGGCTAAATTCCGTACAAATGCGGCATTAATTCTACAGCCGCATCTCGTAGAGCGGGCGGTTAGCCGGTATCTCTCGATACCACCTCGAGGCATTGCAGAGACTATTCAGGATTCATATTTGTATCGCTTGCAGTCCGAAATTTCGAGAGAGGTATACTTGATCCACTTTAGCGGGACTTGGTTGATCTTAGATCGCCTTAGGCGCTCTCTATACCCTTAACTGTGTCAAACAGAGCGCTATGGTTAACCAGTGAAACTATTGTATTAACGAGAGTCATATTGATATAATAATAAGTTTATAATTTTTATTAAAGTAATGTGAAAGATACTATTTGTTTGGAAATTTTTAAACACAAATATATTTCAAGAGATAAATTTATATTTATTAAAACAAAATGTGTGTAAATATACATATTATATAAGTAGATTCATAAATGTATGTAATAAATATAAAGCTGAATTAGAATTATTCGAAAAATTTAATGCCATTATTTATTCGAATAATCATTTAAATATTTATTTTCTGTTGAAGAGATCTCTTTTCTATTTCATTCGATTTTTATTTGAATTATTTATATGTATAAGTAATATAATTTTCTTTATTGTTTGTAGAGAATTATTTAAACGGTAGAATTATCATTATTTTACTCTATATAAGTATTTTTACTATGAATATTAAATATATATTTTAGATAATTATTTTCGGAGTAATGATTTCGATATAATTATGAATAATATAATTATAAATAACTATTTTCTTTTAATTATGAAAAATTACAAGAATCACTTTTTTAAAAATAAAATAATATTTATTAAATTGCTGAATATTCTATACTGAATTGTTCATATATGTATATGTAGAACAAATGTTTTAATATCATTACGAATTTACTTATTTTTATTAAGTATAATAATTTGAGCTTGTAACCGAAATAATGTATTTTCTCCCACTCTTTCTCTCTCCATCTGTACACAGGATACGGTTAGAGAATTTTTATAACTTTAAGACAGCTTTTTACTCCGCGGCTCGCGTTCACTTTGCAAAGCACTCAGAAATATCGTCCGCCAACTTTTTGCAAATCCAACAAATTCCGTCCGGAAAACGCGAGCGGGCCGGGTGAGTAACGCCGTCAGGCGTTTCTTAAAACGGCTGCGAGATATAACTCGCCGGTTTTATATTATACATCCCCGAGCTTAATACACGCGTATTAAGGGATGAAATTTATAGGTCTAGTTTCCACAGTAAACTTAGCCGATATCTCGCCGGGAGGCGAAACAAAGAGTGGTTCTCTCTTGGAGGTTGGTGCTCACCACCACCGGAGATTCTCCCTCGTTTCCGCTACCTTTCTTACATTCCTTTATTCGCGACTAGTTTACCCTCTCCTTTTTATTTCTTCTTCGCGTCTCGTCTCTTTGTTTCTACGATGGAGTGTCAGCTAAACGACGACAAGAAAAAGTTGAAGGCTGCAGCCGAGGCGATGTGAAAGTCTGCGAACGGCAAGAGGGTTGATATAGAATCGGAGAAGGTGGATCATAAAGGTGCAAGATAGACTTTGGGAAATAGCGGAAAAAGCAATCGGTTCCCTGACATGGCCGTAGGATACGCGAAGAAATCGGCCGTTCAGCTCCGATGGAGGAAAGAAGCTTAAATGGTTTTTCCGTGGCCGAATTCGGATCTGTTGAAACTTTTTAACGAGCTCGTTAGGGTTCCGCGAATAGCCGAAAAATTAATTATCTTTGAAAAACCGTCCACTCATCTACGGACACACGACGTTTCCGTTTTCTTTTCCAACTTTTTTATTGTTTTCGATTGATGACTGCGCACTCGTATGTGCGGCTATGGTTGATGATCGATTTTTTGTTTTCTACAGAAGAATTAATCCCTTCTATAAAATTAAGATCCGGTAAAGAATTTTTTCCTCCAAATAAATGCGTATAAAATTACAAACGATATAAATTGATATTAATATTATTATCTTCACTTTTTTAAACGGATTTTTATAAAATATGTAATATATATACGAATTTATTGGAGATATTTTAAAATATTGAAAATTGTTTTTTGTATGATTAATCTTAACATGTCCTAATCTGGTTCAATTCTCCTCAAAAAATCAATAATCCAGATGAAGATGATCCTTAATAATATATATTGTTAAATGTGGTAGTGCTACTTACCAAGATTTTAGGAAAGGACCGAAATAAATGAGAACTCGGTCACTTTCGCAACAACGGCTTTCGTTCGATCTGCCGTAGATTTATTTTAGATACCGGTATAACTTTCGAAACCTTATAGGATATTAGTTACGAGCCTCGCGTTTCATCGATTCTATTTTGTTCGCACGAGAATGGTCATTAAATCGGTTGAATGAGATTCTGTAAGAGATCGGCTCGATTGACTCTCGAATTGTATCGTATTTCTATAAATGAAATTTGACATTTTACACGTTTCCAAGTATTTTTTATAAAGTGTATTATTTCCTGATAAAAAAACGGAAATTTTTGTTTTTTTTTAAATCTATAATAAAAAAAACTTACGGATATGTGTGTGCGTTCCTGACATAAAAATATTTTTTTTTAACAATTTTCGTATTGAAATTTTTGTCACGTAGTTGCAAATTAACATGCCACATCGTTATAGCATCCAAAAAATTGTACACTCGAGATTTCGAATGTATAATCATCGAGCTGGTCGCTATGACAAAATTTTGTCGCAAAACAATTCACACGAGGGCGTGGGACAAAAAATTTTGCGATTCCACCAGAATCGTATGCGACGGTGCGGTGTAACCATGGTATAGAATTAAAAAGTTCGTCGTTCAATTCAATATACGTCGATATATATCAGCGTATTAACTTCGATTGTGCAAAATCGTAGGAAATAGTATACTTATAGTATACTTATAATATCGAGCAACGTATTCTCGTCGATTTGGTCGACGTTACTAGAGAGTTACTTTGCGATTTAATCTCATTCGTAGTGTCCTCGAAATTATGATTGGTCAAGCCCACCATCTGGAATCGTGGTCGATGGGGCTAAAATATGACGAGAAGTCCTGAAAGAAAAAAAAAAAAAAGAAAACACCCGCAAGAGAGAGGGCACCGCTCCACAATCGAGATACATGAACTTTTGGTTATATCCGTCGATTTCGCGTACGTTTTTAACGTCTAGATTAAAAAGTATCGAGGACACTCGGTGACCTGGTTCTTCGATCCGACATGGCTGGCTTGACATGCTGAGAGGAATAATATGTTTTTCGACTTCAGGTACCATATGTACAAGTTGTCATTCATTTACACATACACGCACGCACGCACGCATGTCCGATCGCTCTCTCATTCACAATTTTATATACTCTCATCAATCGTTCGTTTTGTCGCACGTACAATCGATCTCGTGATGTATTACATAAATTATTGACTAAGACAGATTTTTTTTGGTTCCGGCTTCGACGAGGAAATCGCTGAGTACAAATTTTAACATCAAGTGTATGCCCATGGCTAAATTGTTAAACATTTATACAAACGCGTTGGTCTTCGTATCGCAGTGATAAGGTGCGTGTTTGTTTCCGCCTCGTTGTTGCGCCAATTTCGACGTTTCGTTCTTCGTTTTTAAGCATCTTCCAATCGCATTGACACTTTGATTAACAGTCAATTGGCTCTTTTGTCAACAAAGCACGCGAGACATGCTTTCTCATTTAATCATCGCAACGACGAGTGTACGTATCAGTACCGTAACGTTATATTAGATTTTCTGTTATTTTATAGAATTATATTTCCCTATTTATTACAATTTATTCAAAATTTAATATTGATTATGAAAAATGTTATTTTTTAAAATAATTTTTTTAATTAAATAGATAGTGAATTAAATAAAATTAAAATTAAAAGAGAGCGAATCATAGCGTAAAAATTTTACTTCGAATTGTGAAATCCGTTTTATAAGTTTCACATATCATATTATTCAACAAATTACATTTCGTAATTTTGCGTGTATTCCATCACATACAGCATATATTTGATTTTGCTTCTATGGTGAGTAATTAAATTGTACAATAACTCGCCAATAGCTCGCTCGAGTAATCAATAGCATTACAATAGCAGCACTCATGCTAGTTTCAAATTAATGGACCATTTCTTCATTAATACACAACACTACACTGTTATTATCGATTAGGCAGGATATGGATAATAAGTATAATGAGAATTGTTTCAGATGTGAAGCAAGTCGACTGTGATGTAGATTGAATTAAAACTTTTAAATCTTAATTAATCTTTGTATACATATACGAAGAGAACAGTTAGCCACATTAATCAATCCCAATTGCAATTTTTCTCCAAAACATCTCTAGCTGATTATTGAAATATATTAATAATTTAATAGTAACTGTGTTTATTATTGGTTAATTATCGATAATAATAATATATAATGAAAGATTATATATATAATAATGCAGATTACACATATAATAAATATTTAGAATTATAATAGAGAGAATTTGAGACGCGTAAAACATATCGATCAATAAAAACTAAAAGACAGAAATAAAACTTGCAAGTTAAATCTTATTTTACCTGTAAAGAAATAACTTGACAATGCTTGAGTGATTTAATTGCAACTCTTATTCGCGGTTTGATACCTTTAGTCACGGTACTAAACGTTTCACTGGCCGTCTGGATGTCCTTCGTAAACACTCATATCTCACAGTTTCGGGATCTCTGGCGGAAATCGAGTTTGTCTATCTACTTACGTACAAAGATGAGAATCTTGAGTAACGTCGAGAAGGATCGAAAGGAGTAAGAGAGAGAGAGAGAAAGAGAGAGAGAGAGTATGCATATAGTATGTGTAACGGACATCGTCCGTTTTGAGAAATGCAAGGAATCGCAAAATTGAAGGGTAAAGATATAAAGGATGAGTTTTATTTCTCTATTAGGGCAGTGAGCTTTTTCCTTCCTTTTTCGATTGCTTCTCTCTCTCTCTCTCTCTCTCTCTCTCTCTCTTCTTTTTCGTCCTCTCTCTCTCGCTCTTTATTTCTGCTCCGATCATTCGATCATTTGCGTTTCGGGATGTTCGCCGAGAGGATTCCAAGCTTAAGGCGTCATCAGACGTTTTATGTTATAACGGCAGTAATCGCGACCGATTATGTCCTCGTGCGGGATCTCCTCCTCCAGCGGCTCCATCCCCTTCAAGGCCAGCTCGTCGCGAATCTGCGCACACACAGAGAATACTGCGATGTAGTAAATGTGATTTATTGACTGCTAAAGCTTAGCTTATGGTGATTTATACGCTTTAGCCCTTTAATAACGTTACGTAATCGTCGACGTCTATCGAGAGTTCGGCGCTCTTACGGGAACAATGCTACCAATCATGATTTACAGTCGTCGATCACTCATTGTAATCCGCGTGTGCATCTATGAATTCGCCGTAAGTGGATCAATAGTCCGCGATGATGATAATACTTTTAGATTAGGAATTACGAAGGGTTTCTCGGAGGGTTGGATACTAAGAAGATTAAATTGCTCGTACACAAACATACATGCGCATCAGTGAGCCAATCGATATATTTACAAAGCGCGCTCATCGCGTGCTTGGAAGCTGGTTCTCCTCATTTTTCTTTCGATGCATTCCCGCGGAAAAAAGCCGATGAATTTTGACATTACGTCGAGCTTCTGAAGGGCGCGGCGAAGATGGAAGACCGCGCACGTCGCAAATGTTCCCGGGAAAAATCGCCAGGCGCGATTGTAGGGAACAGGGAGATAAAAAGGCGCCACCGGGGGATGAGCTACGATGAAAGGCAAAGACGAGCACGCGCGCGCAAGGGAAAAAAAAATGGTCGTGCGGTGCACGCGTATTTCACACGAGCACATGCACAGAGCCCATCAATTTTCGGTGAAGCCCATTAACTTCCCACGGGCTTTACCCGAAAACGAAACTTTCGGCCGCTGATGAACGCATCGACGATGCTCGCGACACACCGCGCCTCTCATCACCACGATGACGCGATGATGAAAAATCGCCGCAATGTATACGATGTTAGCCAGGAGTCATTATATATCATCATATATATGTAAATAAATAAATAGATAAATAAATATATATATATATTTATTTATTTATTTACATGTATACGGTTATCATTATGATATGTGATATTTATTTATTATTTACATGTATATATATATATACACATGTAAATAATAAATAAATATCAGATTATTTACATGTATATATATATATATATATATATATATATATATATACACATGGAAATAATAAATAAATATCAGATATATAGTGTATATATATATCAGACATCAATTTATTAGCCTATTATATATATATCGAATTTATATGATAAAAACATGAGATTGAGATGATGATTTAGATGTGAAAAAGGCTTCATGTTTTGTGCGACTTTTCTGTTTTAATTTGTGATATTTACTATGCTTTTATTTTTCATATCTAATTATATTTGGGATATTCGTTATAATTTTATAAAATTTGATAACATTGCGAGTAGATGTATGAGTACGTTCTAATTAAACAGATACGAAGATTGATAATGTTACATCTGCAACTTTTGAATAAAACGGGTAAAAGAAACGAATGTTTTGCAGAGAAGAGAGTGGTATAAAAAATATCATTGAATTTAAGTTCCTTTCTGTACTTTTTTCCCGGCATCTCTCAGAATAAAACTTTTTTATAGCGTGAAGAGAGAAAAAGCGAGAAAGAAAGAGAAAGTCTCTCTGATTCGTACGAAAATAATTCGGTACAACGCCGGAATGTAAAAAGAGCTTTTATTGACTTGGAAATATCAGCCGCGCTTTTTTCCACGCTTTGCAAAATTTATTTCGTTTTCATAAAGTAAGAAAACGACGTTCATTTCGTGTCAATTTCGGTGGAATACATATTAGGGCAGCGTAGCGTAAATTTCATTCTCGCCCGAGATCTACCTTTTGCAGTTTTTTTCAATTAAGCGAGCGCTATAGCAAGACAGCACGCTATCACAAATATTTACGCCATGGAAACACAATTGCAACTTTTCGATCATTAATTATCTGCACTGCGAGGAATCGATACTGCACATCAAAGAGGAATGGCAAATATATATGTAATTCAAAATTAAAGAACGAGATCAATTTTCCTAGAATATTAAATATGTTCAAATGAAACATAGATTGAGATTTTTATGAAACAACGATTTTAAGTCATGATTCAGTTGGACGTATCTAATAACTTTTATAACATTTTTCTTGCGTATTGCGTGTGTTACATACGCGCATGGAAATTCTTTGTACGTGCAAAAACTGTTGAATTTACTTTTTGATCGATAAAAAAATATATAGAAACTTTAAAAGAAATTAAAGAGATAACTTTATTATAGCACTTGAAATGTGTGAAATTCGCGTGCGCAATTTATTTTTCATACTTTACATATATATTTACGTATATAATGTATATAATCAAGAAAGAGAGAAAGAGATAATTTGGAAAAACTGAACGTATCTATCATGATATTACAAGTTATTTTGAGCATTGACATACATATAAATTTCACTTAATATTAAATAACATGAATACTATGTACATAAAGTTTCATTTTGCTTCCCTGTTTGGATTTCTAATTAATTGAGTACAAAGAGAGATGACGCACATCAAAAGAAAATCAGTGGGCGATGTCGAATCTAATTAATTTTGCCGCGTTCACATACTTTGTGTATACAATGTTGGGATACTTGCGATATAACATCAACATATATGAACATCGCAAAAGTGTCTAATAATTTTCTCTTCACAAATCACTCCGTATTTATTCTACACTAAAACTGAATTTTTTTCTGCTGTAAAACTGAACTTTTTTCTTCCAGACACACACACACACACACACACACACACACATATGTATGTATATATGCTCGAAGAAATTATTGAGTAAAACTTAAAGTGATACTGAATGTTGAAAGGTCTTTCTTATAAATGCAATCTCTCTTCTGTTCATACTTTTTCCAAAATGAACTGCATATAAAGCTATGGAAATTTTAATTTTAAAAGTTTAATATTATGGAATGGAAACTCCATAATCTTGAATTTTGATATTTGAGTTCAATATTTGAACGTGTGTGAAAAATTATACATGTGATACGTTTCGTATTATAGAGCTTCTGTGCTTTTAAATGACATTTTCACGAGAATATATATTATGTAAAATGTGAGATTAAGATATTAATGGATATTGAAATACTTTGCTCATAAACGCATGAACAATCTTGTTACAGTTTATATTTCCATTCTAAATGAATTACATTCAATTAAAGACTATTAATCCTCCTTCTCAACTTTAAAAATGTCAAAATTAAAACTTTTTAAAACTGTTGCATTAAATTAAATATATTAACATTTTAAATATTTTAAATAGATCAAAGTATGATGTAATATATGTATATATAAATACTGTGTAATATGAGATTATTTAAAGTATATTAATATTATATGATATTACGTGTTGATCTCTATATGTTATGGTTTCGTTTTTCTTGAAAATACATACTTTTCTACGATAATGCATTTGTCGATATATATTTTATATTTTGATATGTACGTAAAATTATTATGAGAAGGATAAAATACGAATGAAATGAAACTTAGTGTTGAACAGGGCTTGTAGTTGCGCAGGGTTTGTAGTAGCAGATATCGATGGCAAACCGATAATGTGTTGATTTGCGACGATGGCTCTTTGTATCAGTGATTTCATTAACGAAAGATATGTCAATAAAAGCGGGAAATGTTAAGAAAAAATATCGAAATTCAATTCCACCGCCTTCTATAAATACATCGATTTTCTTCCTGTTTCCGAAAAATTATATCATAATTTATAGATTGAATCAGTCATTTTAAAAAGAGCATTACTCTCTATTGTAAAAAAATATATATATTAGTAGTATTAACATAATTAAGATATTTTCTGTTTCTGTTTCTTCTAATGGAAATATACTTTGCTATACATAAATGTATGTATTCCTAAGGAAAAATACTAGAATGGAAATTTATTACCATATTTTTTAAATATATAAATTTCCTTCTAAAACGAAGAATCAGTTATTATAATCTATCTTAGGAAAATAAAATAAGAAAAGAAGCTGTAAAAGAGAACTTTGTTCGCCATTAACGGTGTTGCGAAATGGCATGGCGATTTACATAATGCGAGTGTGACACTGATTGTGATTGTATTACGGCCAAGGAATTTCCACCGTTGTTTCCGGACGACTCTTCGCGGCGAGCGTCGCGGTCTTACGAAATAGTATCAAAGTTCCCAGGAATTCCACCCCTCGTACGAAGAACAATAGCAAAATTGAATTTCAAAGTAACGTAATCGCTATCATTTCGTTCGCCACATCGCGCCGTAGGCATGGCCATTATTTCAGCAATTACGACATTTCTCGCCTGCCGCGTAACCCGGACTGCCACCGTGGGTGGTGGAAAACGGCGATGAGATGAGTCGAAATTGCTCAAAGGATTTGCCCTTCGCTGAACCTCGCCGACTTTACTGCGATGAGAAAAGCGAAGAGCAAGTAAATGTGTAATTGTATGTGTGTGTGTGTGTTTCAGGTAAGAAGGTACGATTTCTCCGCGAATTTGCACATTGAAAATTAATGGCAACTTGCCATCTCTCGGTTGGAAGAAATTCGATTCATAAGCGCGGAATTTTCACGTGCTACAAATTATCTTCTCGGGCATAAAGTAAATCACACTTTTATATTCCGATAATCAAATAATATTCTTCGGAGCCGTATCTGGAAAATTGCACATCTCGAATTAAATTAGGATAATTTGAGAGGGCGCGATTATATACGTGTAACACGTTTCCATTACGTTTTCAGTGTGTCCGCATTGTGTCGTGCGGATCCGCAGCTTTTTCCAGCGTCTCATCCCACGAAGTCGCGAGAGCATTTTTTGCGCGACACGACGATAAATCACCCCTCCGAAGAATTCAGGACGTAATTTTAATTCGTCGGCTATCGCGTGCGCTCGAATCTTTGTTCTTTCGGAAACCGGCGACCTCGAGAATTGTTAGGCGGATGCAAAATTTACGTTTTCGCGCGTAATTTATCGCGGCGCGCGTTTATTATGTTATAATCCGAACGTGTAATACACATTCTTCTCTAAATATAATAAATGACTCTTGCTTTGGACAAATAACCGCGGGTTCCGTTGACCACATCGCATCGCAATTAAATTATCACAGTAATTTCAACAACGGCCATCGTGAGCGTCCTCAAACATCCGGAACATCCGGCACACATAATTTCTCACATCATTCCTGTCGGGGCGTGTACCACCGGGTAATATCTGGACTGAAACATTTTCAGGCACGATGGAATTCTCGTAGGACGATCTGCATTCGACTCTGCAAAACCGGCCATTTAATGTTGAAATATATGGAATATTAATCGAGTAGTCGAAATGAAGTCGAATTAAATTGAAAGGAATTTAATTTTAGCTAAATATTAGAGAATGACGAGGTGTGAATTTTATAACGGTTTCATAAACGAATTTTATCAATATATTATAATCAGGTAATCGAACGCGAGCGAAAGAGATTCGATCAATTACCATTTTTAATCCATTGAGCGCTGCAACTTTAATCTCTTGCATTTTTATATTTTTATAAAAAAGCTAGATGGAAAAATATTATTTTATCATTGTTTACTCATCATTTTGTTAAATCGACAACAATAACGATTCTCGTAACTTTGCGCGCAATACAACACGAGTCGAGCGTTAAATTTTAATTAAAGCGTCGACGAGGATCGAGGGGCAGAAGGGTTCCAGATGCTGTTCTCCTTTAACGCTTATCTTTCGCAGAGTATAAAATGTCAGTGTTGAGCGATGTTGAACGATGTTTCGGAGCCGTTTAATACACACGTTATGTGTAGTCGTGACTGTACGTATGCGCGCTTAAAATAGAGAAAGAAAAAGAAAAAGGGAGCGCACACCGTTGGATAGGTTACTAGATCCTGCCAGCTGGTTCTACGACTGGCAGGGCTCCAAGGGAGCAAAAATCGTGATCCGCTCGACCGAGTTCTCTCTCTCTCTCGTCTGATGATGCACCGCGCGCACCACGTCGGATGCATGATTTGTGCGCTTTATTAAATCCGATATTGGTCGACTCGGGTAACCCGAACCAGGCCATCGGTTATTTCGTGACGGAAACGAACGCTCCTTTCGCCTTTCTGTGTCTTCTCGTCGTAGCGACTTTTTCACCTTCGACACGCGTCTGCTTTTTTCATCAAGCGAGAAACTGAACGCGCGGCAAAGAATGGTTCTATTCTTTTCTCTTTTTCTAAGACTGGAAAGAGTAATTTACCTTTTCCACCGCCTTGAACACCCGTATAAGATTCAGACCAGCCAGTTTCTGAATGTCTCTCTCCGACCAGCCACGCGCAAGCAATTCCGCAAAGAGCTCTGGATACTTGCTGACATCCTCCAGACCCGTTGGTGTCCTGAAGCAGAGAATTTATGATGAGATCTTATTGAGATTTGCAGATGAGACTGCGCGATGTGATCGATTAAGATAAAATCGCAATAGACCGAGCAACGTCTTCTTTTTACGTGCAAAAGTTCAGAAACTTTGAGATTCGATTAAAGATATTTATAATTATAATAGTATTTAATTAGTCTCTCGGGTTCACATTGCTAAGCTCTTAAATTTTTCTATCGAATATACTAGTTTTTTAATAAAAGTTTTGATATATATTTAATAATATTATGAAAATAATAACTTTTACTTGGATGTGATAAATTAATCAAGATTAAATTGACCAACAATTTCGTGGTTTTTTTTATATAAATAAAAATGGATAAATCTCAGCGATGATGAAATGATAGCTGATATCAACGCGCGATGGCTTATAGCCACAAATGCTAATAGAAAGGTATGGGACGAAAATAATTTTGTCTCCCTCTTCATTTCTGAAAATATTGTTTTAAAACACTGCATCCACCGCGATAAATTTTCGTCGCCGGGCAAGCGCTCGACTGCGCCATAAAAGTCGATATGGAAATAATGTCCGTTCTGTAAAGCGCCAGCTTGTGAACGTACGGTGCACCTAAGACCACAATTTACATGAATATTTCCGCTCGATAAGATAGGGCTTTAATGAAGCAGAAAGCTCCGGGAGTTTAAATTAGAAAACTGCTTGAAACTTTTATGGGTCCACCTTCGTACTTTGCGTATTTCCGTATTATCTTAATTTTATTGCGTGCAATTCTTCGCGGCGATTCTACTATCTCTATTATGCATACTGAGGTACGGTGGATTATATTTTCGTTCACTTGCATTATTCAGTGCGTATAGGTGCAACCTTGACGCGCGATCGCGAATCTATAAAAAGCTCTCATCTATTATGCATGCAAGCGGCATGAACTAAAAAAGTTATTTAATATGTGTCTGTATGAGATTAATGACGTGGCTTTTATCACATTTTTAACGACGATTTGAAATAGTGTCTCTACGTGGAGACAAATTTTGGACGGACTCCCTCATAAAAGATCCTGGAAATAATTATGCTAAGCTTCGGTGACGTTTATTATTGATTAACTATCGTTTATTCATATTCTTTCCCATATTCCCTCTCGGATAAATTTCGCCCGAACAAATGTTTAGTTTGAATTATTTTGCAAAGTACCCGGGCGAAGTTTCCGCGTTTCACGATATGAGAATTATCTCTGCTTTCAACCGTTGCGTTATGCTCCGCTCTCAACCATTTCGTCTAGAATAATTATTTGCAGACTATCACCGTGGTAAAAATTGAATGTACGTATTAAAGGCATCCGGCAGAAGAAAAGTGAATCCGCGCGGAAGAAGGTCAAAGTACAATAATGAGCTGGTCGGGAAGCAGTCGCGGATAAATTACACGAGTTACTTCGGGCGGTTTATCCTTCATTACTTTAATTACCAGTACGCCGGGTGACTGCGGCGAACTTACTTTATCGCTGAGAAAGGCATGCCGAGAAAGCAACTCCTTTTACCTTACGCGATCCTTACTCGTGAATTTAGGGTGGAAATGTGCTATTAGACTGAAATTCTCGAGCCAATTTAATGCTCGCGCAGAAAAGAATGTATCTCGCTGAAAAAATATTCGTTGTGAAAATATTTCTGGAATTAAAATCGCAAAAAGTAATGAATCTCTCTATTTTAACAAAAAAAGAGAACGCTTGAAAAATATCGCTGTTTAAATTTTTATACATACACACGTACACATTTGCTATCTTTTGTATTTAATAAATTCAAGAGTTCTCGCGATCACTTAGCAAACGGTCTGAATTAAAAATTGTGGAAAATTATCAATTTAAATTTTAATTGTAATAAGAAAGAGATCCATACATATATCTCTTCTAAGTTCGAGAACATAGTCTATTTTCTTATTTAAATTAACTGACGTAATTCGGGAAATATTGAATCATTTTTCGTTCTCGCAGTCGTTTACAATTTCATTAATTTATCTTTAAAGCCATTATGCGAACATAGTCGATATTTTTGTCATGAAGATATGTTGATTCGCGACGAGCGGAAATAGGACCGATAAAAGGGCTTTAGGCTGAGGGAGCCGACGTTCTCATTACGAGAGTTATAACGAGAGTTCGTACAACACCCGATGACAACAGCACGAGGGTGGGAAGGGGGAGCAGGCTGTTTGCTGACAATGTCGGATCAACAAGAGCGGTTAGTGACTTATTCACGGCGCGTCGTGTTTCGGCTGAAACTGGCAGTTATGCAATTGTATACTGTACGCACATCGACCAACCGCAACCAGAGGGCCGTTATACCAATCACGGAAATTTCGAAATCGGGTGTGTCCATCATCATAAGCTGACTGTAATCACGGGATAAACGCACGCGGTCCAAGAGAAGACATATTGTATGCTTGCAATCCATTACAATTATTTTCATTTTTGTCTGATATATTGCGTCAAAATTCTATGAAAATATAAAAATTTGAATATTTTTTGAAAATATCTATGAAATCGATATTCAATCAGATGCGTTGTCTTTGATATTATAATACAATATTCATCTATTCAAAATGGCGATTGTTAGACTTTTCATTTTTGTTGAACACTTTTGGAGAGTGTTTAATGGATCAATAGACTCATGTTCAAGAATTTATGAAATTATTTAAGCATGGTTTTTTTTGCGTATCCAATAAAACTTCTATATGGATCCTTTGGGGCTCTGTGAAACACAGATTAAGAGTATTTTATCTAGAAGTTATTAAAAAGGTATATAACTTATATAGAGCATGATTTGTTTCGACCATGGTTGGAAAAACAAATGAAAACACTGTCTCTAGAGAGAATATATATCTAATACGACTGGATTGCGTTATATTTTTATAATATATTGCTCTTTATATAAATTTTTCCATTAGCTCACAGAAAATATTGTCCCTGAAAATGAACAAAAATGATGATAATAAAGAAAGCGAAATAAATCAATTTGGCGTACAATCGAGATCGATGGCGTATAAAGATTGTTATGTAAAGTTAGTTACAGATAAATAAATATCCGGATGATCACCGTTGAAAATATTAACCTACTACTCCGAACTTCGTCGGGGATGTCACTCATCGAAACGCGGTGATCCGAGGATCCGCAGCACCGTTGTAGAGAATTGTTGGCCGATCACGGTTACGAATGTTATTCACAATTCACGAAATTCCCAATTCTGTCCGTCGTCTCTCTTCGTCAATGGGATTGAGCTGACCATGTACGCGGAAAGCGTACGTCGTGTTCGCGTTCTCGCGCACACGTAAATACTTCTCGCCCCGGCGAGATACCCGGTGGCGAATTTATGCGGGCTAAATCTCCGTGGTATAAAAATATACGCGCCCGTGGACCTCGTAAAAATCCGCTATCGAGCAACGACAACCGTGGTTACCGGACATCGATCCGCCTTTCTCGGGACGTACGGGCTTCTTTTTGCTCCCCCGTCTTGCTCTCGCGTACCTCGTCTATTTGCCCGTCGGTACGACCGAATCGAATTCAAAAATGCCGTTTCCACGGGAAAATACGTTTCGCTCAAACCCAGTGACAGTGATTTATGGGCGAGGCTGAAAAGCGCGAAGCTCGGTGGATCGCTTCGCGGAAGAAGTGACACGCTGATCTCGATTCCCCTAGGGAAAACCGAGGAAGTGTTCATCGACATTTTGTCCTTTTTCGTGATCGTGACGTGGATGTAAAGTGACGACTTCGGATGTAACAATTAACTTTTTATATAAAGTACGATACATATAAGTGCATATATATATGTCATGTATGATTTTATCAATATCTCTCTTATAAATTTAAAGCCAATTTTTTTCTGAATAAGAAACAAACAACAATTATTCATTTTTTATAATTTTTAAAATTCTACATTAAACATTGCATGTAAATCAAAGTCTGTTTTATATTAAACGAAGACTGATGCGACTCATTTTATTTGTCTTCCATTTCCCAAAGAACGTTCATTTTCAATCATTTATAATTTAAGAGGAATCTTTTTCAACTATTTTTCTCTCTCTTTGTGTTTACGAAAACTATCCTTTTACATTTTTCTTCAACACATCTTCAAACTGTACACCATGTAATCTTTCATTACCTTCTGTATAGACTTCCTCTCAAAAGTTTAAACTTGATATACTGTCTTTGTTTTAACGCGACGTCTATGCGCAAGGTGAAAACTATAGTAAGACGGTTCTAAATTCTTCGCGCTCGTCCATAAACGGCTGCTCTGCGATGCTACTATAACCGGTCGTTGGCGGGAAACTCAACGAAGGATCCCTCGTATGAATTTTAATCTAGCGTAAAAGCTTATTGGCCGGCAGCAGGACTATCAGCGGTGCCTCGTCCTACCACGTTTAACCTCCTCGTCCTCGCGTTTCCTGCACGTTCCGTCGTCTATTTCCGCATGACCCACTTTTTTTACCTTTAGAAATAATTAAATACATTCTCCGATGCTTTTTCCAACCCATCTCATACGAATATCCCCTTTTCTCGCCACGTGCGCGCTACCGACTCGTATAATCAACGAAACGAATACCTCTTACGATTAGTTCGCTGAAATTTTAATGATTCAATCTTAGATTTTATGAATTTCTTTGTTCTCGATTATAATAACGCTACTATTTTTTTCTAAATATTAAATGAAAGCGTAAAGGTAGAACTTTTATTTACAATTCAGCTAAAATATTAGAGTAGAATTTCTGTATTTTTCTTAAGCATAATTTCTTATTGAATTCGACTTGCAAGCTGACCGATTTTGAATATTAATGTTAACGTGGATTAATCGATTTTTAAATAATGTGTCAACTTGTTGGCTATGTATCATTTCAATCTTGTATTACTCGTACGAAGTTATTCGCAACGATTGAAATAGAAATGCAACAATAAACGAATTGATCGTCGAAGAATAAATAGTGTCGTGCTTCCGGCTTTTATGAATTTCGGAGCAATTTCCTACGTGAAGGCAATGAGTCACGAGCCGCACACGCAGATGTTACACGTGGGATTGAGGATTCCCCTGTGAAATGCTTCCCCCGATTAGCTCGTTGAAATTTTCACCACGTGCTGTCAACCGATAGGGTTAATTTAACGTGCAATTAAGAACGCGGCGTTTCTGTCGTGCGGATTCAACGCGATTCTAATGCAGTAGCCAGTGCGAGCTATGCATGAAATTGAGAGACTACTCGATTCGTTTCCGTGGGGCAAATTGCTGATTAATTTTGCAAATAGTTACTATGTAAATTATTACTGACAATTTTCCATCTGAGATTATTTATTACTTTTAATCTCATTACTCCGATATTCTTATTTAATTTACAATTAGATTGACCAAATTTTTCGGAAGAATTATATAGCTTTTTTTTTAAATCTCTCTCTCTCTCTCGAATATCTTGTGAACTTTTAGAATTTTTTTGCCTGATTTTAGAAATTTTATTTTTTTTTTTTTGAAAAATACAATGTCCTTTATAATGCCGTTTAATACTTGCAGGAAATATTTATAATAAATGATGAGATTATGCAGGGAATTATGAAGGCAAGAAATTATGCAAATTTATACAAATTTCATATTACGGCATGTCAGTGGAGAAATTTTCCCCCAAAAATTTTATAGGAAGCTATTCATTGGAATCAGTTATTATTATTAGGTATCAGGTATTATTATTATTAGCATGTTGAAATTTTAACCACGAATTGTGTCAGTTGGGACGTTTCATCGTACGTGATCATTCTGACCGAAAATAACGCGCGGTTTTACCTTCGAAATTAAATATACTTGCGAGAGAATAGTTTTTGTCTGCAATGAAAGCACGTTATCGAATTTATTTGCGGCGGGTTCGCCACGAATACGAATAAAAGTCTGTCGGCGAATGAAATGCGCTTCGTCCTAAAAAATTCGATCGATCATTTATTTTTCACGTGTTCGCTAGTAAATATATATGCCATCAATGTTCGCAGAATTTCCAATTTTCAACGTAAGCTCGTTACGGAAGGTATGAAAGAAGGAAAATAGTAAACGAGGGAGAATGGTGCTTTTCTCCCTTTTTCCCCCGTTTGCGTGACACTTTTTATTTTACTTTTTCATCGGATAATTTTTAACTGTCGAACGCAAATGTGTTATGCACGCGAAAAGATTGGCAATTGCTTTTTCTTTTATCACGATGGGCGTAACCTTAAATCCCAAGTTGCCGTGGCAGATATTAAACTTTCTTTCTTTCGTAGTGCGAAATGCTAGGGGCATGCGACGGGGGAAACAAGCATTGTTTTCATTCCGATGCGACATCTTTCTCGAGATTCCGGTCGTTCGTATAACGCCACTAAAGTACGTTCTTGTTATTCGCGTCGTTCTTCTTGAAATCATCGCATTCAAGGATCTCAGACTTTGCGAGAAAGCCGTGACACATTTAGGAATGAATACGAGAATAATCTTTACGTATTGCAATAAAAGAAATAAAAAATGCAGCGTCGTGTACCGTATCGGACGCGTTGTATTCGTGTTATTAATTTTGATTTGCCATGATTGGATATGAAACCACTTTAATAAAGTTTTGATCTGTCCAGTGCTCTTACCGCAAATAAATTGAATTTAAATGAAACAATATATCGCGCCGTATGGATTGTTTCGCATTTAAAGTTGATAAATTTTAAACGATTACACAATATCAAATTCATTAAAGATTAAAAAAATTGCAAATATTTATAAAATTCAAACATTTTCTTTCAATAAAGTTAGTTTAATAAAATTTAGTCTCCATTTCATTAACTGAATGCAATTAATTATAATTACAGAGGTTGCATTCCCCATGATATTTTTAAAAAATATTCTTCCATTTATAACATCACTGATAAATATTAAAAATTTATTTACAGATTTTTATATGTAATAATATTAATTTAAAACACGATATGATATCAAGTATCCGTGTTTTTATTCCAAAATCGCGATAGTGGAATATTTAAATGAAAACAATTTGTGTAAAATAAAATTTTGGATAAAATATGTATTTTCCAATACATCAGTAATTAATGATTTATATGTTCATTTATTAAACTTTGTGTGTTTGTTTTGCAGTTGTTTTTCTCTGAATTTTATACTTCGGCACAATTTATTTGCTTGTGAGAAATATAAATAACTCACATATATAATAAACATATTCAAAATGAAAATACGTACAGTCCGTCATTTTTTAAGCCGTTATAATGAAAATAATCATTTTAAATTTACATTTAGTTCGTAAATTTATATTTATTTTTTGCCTGAAGAAAACGAAAATATTAAAATTATTAATTATTCATAAATATCGTTATATCTGCTGCATGTATTTATTTTTCCGATTCCTCGCATTTTGTATTCAATATTGTCGTTGTACAAAAATACGGGGAAACCGTATATCGCGATGGTTCGATCAGCGGTGTGCCTTTTACGTCGTTTTTCTTCTTTATCGTTTGGTCTGCAAATCACGCTTCGATGCATCCACGCTGTTTTTCAATCCTCTACTATATACATCAGACACAACCACATGTGTTTTTTTATACGATCTCGGAAACTCAACAACTTTTTAGTCATCCTCTATCGCCCTCAATTTAGTTATGGTTAGAATTGTTTTTCTTCATCCATCTTTCTCTTTTTCGTGCTCTCTGAATTTTTTCGCGAAAATTAATGGAAAGGCTGCGATTCCAACAATGCTCGTGCTACAAGAGATCGATATTTTTAACAAAAAAAATTGCGATCATATGTTACTTGATTTTCACATTTATTTAACAGATTTTGTATACTTGCATCTCAAGTTATCGCGGCAAAGAAGAATTCTGCGGATTGTTTCTGCATTGAACAGACTGCGTGAAAAGTATAACAAAAGCGGGAATAATGAACGGAAATAATATCGGTCGTTCGATAACAAACGGTTGAATACCCTATCGGATATCTCGCAAGAAGGATTTTGTATATATGGAGTTTTTTTTAAAAATGTGTCCGTACAATAGTTTCCCTCGCAGTCTTGGGAGAAATAAATGTGAGCTTCGAACCATATTTATTTATGAAGTCGTCTTGACTAAACACCTCTTGTATTTTCTTATTATTTTCTCTCTATTGCCATCTTTCTCTCAGATTATAAGCGAGATGTATCGAGTCAAATAGTCTGAATATTTATCTGAAATCGAACTAGTAATCTCTTCTCTTCTCATAAATTTCGGGGACTTTAACTATCTCCGAGTCTCACAAATGATCGGTAGCGCGGTACGTATTGATTTACACCCCGACCTATATCCAAAGGAAGTCGAAAACTTTCCTACATTTGCACTAGTTTGCAATCAGCTTGGCGGAACTAATATGCAGAGGAAAATGCGTTTACGAATTTACATTGTTTCCACTTGACAAAAAATCATAATATTTATCGTAATATTTATTTTAATGCGAACGATGCAGCTACTATTTGATATTAAAATAGTTGTTATCATACGAATAATCATACACACGTATAATTACTGTTGAATCGAACATTTTCATCGATTACTTTTGAATTATGATTATCTTACTACTCCATTAGTCACTTTGATTAATTAACTTGCACTTGATGGAAAAAACAAAAAAATTTTTGCTCTTCTATCTTTTCATATTTTAGAAACTCTTGCATCATATTACCGATCGTATTTTGACGTACAATTATATATTCCAAATGTATAATTACACTTACAAATTGATCCCGTCGTATCCAGCTCCGATGCCGACATGATCCACGCCGGCGATCTTCCGCACGTGATTGATGTGTGCTGTAACATATCATGAAAATTGCACGTATTACGTAATCGTCATAATGCCCTCTGTGCTTAGCGTACTGCGATACGGAACTCATTTGCCGTATAACGAGGAAAATTATTATTAATAATATGCTACCCTAACTGCGAACTTCGCTGCGAAGTAGACCGGGGCGATTTTTCATCTACGATTAATATACCGCGTCATTTTTTCTCAAGAGTCACAAAGAGAATTACCTTACACTTATTCGTTTTGTTCCTTTTCATTGTTGTTCGCCGGTAATGCATTTTTACACGTTTGACGTTCTCCTCCGTTGCATTTGTATTCAAGCTGCCGTAGTTGTTAATCATAATATAGCGCGAAGCGCATAATAAATTCCGCTTTGAATATAAGAGAATATTGCGCTTGTGCAAATTGAATAAGTAATCTGTTGACGTTGATTCATCTTCCTATTTATATAAGTTGAAAGGGATGGTAAATTAATTAACAATTATTATGATTGAATTGCAAAAGGTAAGAGAGAAATTGAGAGAAGCGGTAGTAATCTCCAATTGATATATCCGGTACACGGAATTCAAGTAAATTATATTCTGCTTACTGCTGGCTTTGTAATCATATTTATAAATACAATTTCCACCGCTAGGCAAATTTCAAAGTATTCTCTTTCTCGCGCGTGTTGAGGGTGGATAAAATCGAATAATAATTTGAACAGGTATAATGAAATCATGAATGCGCGCATAAACAATGAAAATTTGCATATCCGTCAGACGGATGTTATTGTTAACTCGGGAATTGTCACACGCGCGCGCGTGCATATATAATTTACATCTCGGTGACCTAATACATCACGAGTATAATTACATTGGGCGAAAAACACAAAATTCAAAAAACAATTTCATTCTCTCATCAGAATTATGAATAAATTTCACATCTCGGCTAATTCAACAAATCGCATTACTTACTTCCGTGAGTTTTTCAAGAAAATAAAACAATTTGTTATATTTTATTGATACATTTTTAATAACAGCATTTCAAAGTGTACTAAATAAGATTATTATTTTATAGATTGAATAAATTAATATAAAGCTATTACTTTTTTATTTCGCGAGCTGCATCTCTTATCAAGTTTAAATTTGGTGTAGATTTGATATTGATGTGGTTTCAATTAATTCTTGCAAATATCATCGTATTAATAAATCTTTCATAAAAATTCAAGATGGATGTAGTATTCAAATATTGTTTCAACTTTATAAAATATAACGTTTTGATAGTATTAGCTATCTAGATTTAGAATCGTGATCAAGTTTTTTATCACATTTTTATCACATTTTTATCACATATACAGATATGTTAGAAAAATATTTATTTAGTGAAAAGCATTTATGAAAGCGCTTCCTTCATTCCTTTTTAGTATAAGTAGTGGATAACGGCATGCCGCTCATGGATACAACATGCATAATCAATCGAATAAATGACATAATTCATAATCGATCAGGCCGTAGAATAAAGGCACGCATCATTGCATTCCAATTTTGTTCGAGTTTCTGTGAAGCGGAACATATCAGAAACGTCATAAATTTCGATTTTCGTGTTTATGCCGCGCATTGTTCTCGCGCGTTATCTCCATTATATCGTAAATTATATGTCGAACGACTCGGCGTAACGTGGCATGGTCTTCCAAAATTGATCATTATTCGTGAAGTCATGTCATTGCCAAGCACTAGCCTAGAAAATCACGTATCATGCAGGATGCTGAGACCAGCAGATAATCCCTAGTCCCTCAAAAATTTCAATTTAATAATAATAAAACGAGAAATTTCTAAATTTAGATATTTGGATAATTTTACATCTCTCGTGTGTTATTTTTATTGAATTAGAAAATTATTTATGTCATAATTTTGACTGTGGATATAGCCAAAAGGAGAAGAGAGAGAAATGAAAATTATTTGTATAAAGATTTTCGTAAAATGCTTCTCTCTTAAAGAAGCGAACGACTTTGTAGCGTGACTGTTGCGTGTTGTCGTAAACGGAAGGAGTTACATTTGCATTGCATCTCGTATATCGTAACAGTTGTGCCATTAGCAGGTTGCCGTGAGATCTTTCGATTTGCATGTACGATGTAAACAGCACGGTTGATGTTTGTTTGGACAGAATAACGTGCGAATGTCTCTCGAGATGCAATGTAGGTGTATTTTGATGGCGTGAGAAACATGTGCAGTACAATATAGTCGCACAAAGCGAAGAAGCGAACGCGTTTCCGTAAACGATGTAAATCTTATTTACAAAACAAAATATTATTTTACATTTTATAATATAAAAGAGATCACAATATTACATCTCATGAATTATTTAAAACCTCCCATTAAATATATTATTTTGCCAATGGATTGGGAGTAATTTCGCGCTGAGAATAAAAAAGAATTATATTTTTTTAATACAATGTTTACACCGAGAATGTTTGTAAAAAATCTCTCGAATTCGGAAATTCAATTAGAGATGCAGATAAAGCTACGTGTCGCGCAAGTTAAATAAAAGGGCACATGTGGATTGCGAAAGTACTTTCGCAATCGTGAACGTATCTCGCCGGAGGAAGATAGATAGGTAACTGTTTTAACGCGCGTAAACTGCGAGCGCGAATCGAGAAAATTGCATTCGCATTGTAAACAAAGAAATAGTCACTCGGTAAACGTAATGCGGGGAATTGCGAGCTTGCGATAGCGCGCGTCGCGCGTTATTATTAACCGATGGCGATTGTTGAGCACGCGCGCGCGACGACGGCTACGGGATGATCCACGCTCCGGTGGAACGGGATGTGGAAAGCGAGGAGGAAAACGACGTAGCGAGCGTGGTGAGAATCAATCATAAGCGTAATACCCGCTTCGAATGGCCAATCCGGTGAATCGCGCGAATCGCACAATCCCGAAATTATAATTGTGCACCCGGTATATAACGCACATTTCCCGTTCGCGTCCATAATTTTCTTCCCCGCTTTCCCATGGCGGACATAATTTTCTCCGCGGCTCTGTAACAGTCGATGTAAAGCAATTATAGAGATGCCGGCCGCGGAAGGAAGCGATTATTCAGGCACCCGGACTACGCCCGATTACGCGTCCGACGCGCGGCCATCCGGGCCAGCGATTATTGTCCGGACCAGCGATATTCGTTCTTTCTTTTGTTTCGCTTTTCGAGATATGCGCGCGGCACACAATTTGACTTTTCAATTCCGCGCGATTCAATAGCGCGCGATTGGAATTTGTAGCGTATCCCATTCGAGGAGATGCGTTCTGTTCCTCGGTGCGATATTGTATACGTCACATTTGCCTATTCTTACGGAAGGCGCATGGAAACACTGGGAAATGGCGACACGGGATTATTACGATCCTAGTAAAACTACAAATCTTGCGGGGTTCTCCGAGTTTGCATCCCGCGAGATCCCGGGAGATTAGCTTGAGAAAAATGGACGAAATTAAAGAATTTATTATCTCGCGTTTATTATCTTCGTGGATTAAGAATTATGATAGTCTCCTACGCCGTTTCCTCGGCTGTAATTTAACAGAGAGAGGGAGATAAACGTTCTGTGTGTCGATCTCGCCTTCCTCTTTGTAGATCTGAAAATTCACGTCCATGTACAAAAACTGACACCGCTTGGCAATACCACGGAACGGAATTGGCTGCACCCGCGGGAAAACGTCACGAACATTTCACTTTTTTGTCGCATTTGCCTGCAGAAACGTTCGGATTTTCGCAGGATGCATTTGGAACCGCGGTTTGGCCGCGCAAAGTGTGAACTTTGGATTACGGGTAGTACTTCGTACACACACGATGGCTTCGGCTTCGCGATCGATCTCGCTCGAAAGTAAAGAGTTAACTTTTATCAAACGTGGCACACTTGAAATGCCGGGAAAAGTTACACCATTATACCACAACGGAATGGAACTGTATTTTTCTTTGGATTGCTTGGCTACTTAAATTAATGACTTAAGTCGATTCGCACTTTTTGATTGAACGAAACATATAATATTTCGTTTCAATTTAATCTTAGAGTATATTGGAGCTCTATCCTCGATTAAAACTCCGTTTCTATATCTTTAATTGTATTAGATATATATATATATATACATACCCAAATATACGGACAAAGCCCTTTACACTATCGACGCGATCTCAAATATTAATGCCTTCGAAATTTCAAGTCGCTCTAACAATAATGCAAATAAGATAGCGATCTGTTTGATACTTAACGCTCGACCTAGTCACTTTAGCAGAGAAAGAGCTCTGGAGATGTTCATTTTGCGATGTCAATGGCGACTTTGAAAGGCGTGGCTTAGCCGCGGAAACCATATCAGTCGTGAAAAAACTAAGTGCGATAATCTTTTCAATTAGCCTTTACTGAAATATAAAAGCAGGCGATGACAATCGCCTGCTCGGAGCTACAAGAGATAAAAGCGGCAAAGTAACGTTGATTACACTGGAGAGAAGGAAGCTTAATGAAGAAAATTTTATTCAATGCTCCAATTTATCTCATTTCGAAAAGAATACAGAATTATAAATGCGAGAAATAACCGATTCCATCAGACGTCGGATCGTATTGCATGTACGTGTATTGTGCTTTATTTAAAAAATTCCGAGATAATGGTGCGTTTCGGCAAACAAATATCATGCGCTTTAAGCATGTATAGTACCTACAAATAATTGGATTTCGTTTTCGAAAATTTTATTAATGCATCGTGCTGTGCAAACAAACTGACACTGTAATATCCGTTTTTACGAGTTTCGATATTAGGTTTTGTCCAAATACTGCGAATGCATTAATAATTAAAATTAAACAATTCTCATTGCTCACCTGCTACATCCTCGAGCGTCGATTTTTCGCCACAGCTGATAAAATGGGGGTAGAAGGATACCATAACTATACCACCGGTCTTCGTCTGCGAACAAAATATTCATGTTTCGCTTAATACGATTTTTAAATTAAATAAACTGTAGAAAAAATAACTGATTATTAATATAATTTATGAAATTTAGAGTTCATATGAGATAAATTATTATACAATATTTTCTGAGCAAAAATAGCAGAATCATTAAATCTGAAAATTTATATGTGTAAATCCGCCTTGTATGAATTAAAACGTTGCATGCATTTATTATCGTTGACAATTTTGTTATCGAGGCACTTACTAAAGCTTGCAACGCGTGATCAGGCACATTTCGCGAGGAATTGCAAAGAGCGTGGGCGCTACTGTGGCTGAAAATCACCGGCGCTTTCGATGTCATCATGGCGTCTAGCATCGTGGGCACCGAGACGTGGGACAGGTCCACCATCATCCCGAGTCGATTCATCTCCAACACGACACTCTGAAAAATCACTTCGACGTTAAATAGTTTCGATACTCGTGAGCTCTCGCTTTCGCGAGATCGAGACAGGCGGATTAAAATACTTCAAAGAATGTTACGATTTTAATGTCGAAAGACATGCCTTTCGGTGCATAATTTCTCGAATACTTGCGATGGACATTAATCTAGATTATATATAAAGTGGCTCGAAAGGATCCATTGTGTCATGTCGATGCTGTCATCGTGCAACTTTTTATCAATTCTTCTTTTCACTACTTTTTATAGCCTTGAATTTCAAGTGATCTATTCAAGAGCATCTTTCCTTGTTTATTTTTATGATTTTTTTAAGATTGAGGTCTGGCAGAAGGTTAGTTATGTATCTGCCGGGTTACTTTCCGAATTAAATTTCGCATTGGTGATGAAGCGAATGGACCAGTTTATAGTCCGCGCACGTTAGGTCAGTGACACTTATTGCGCGAATCGGATTGAAGTTTAGAACGAATTCTTTCCGAGGCTACAATCCCCCGAGAAGAATGCCAATGCGAGTTGAAATCGAAACGTCGGATTTTCAGTACCATTTATCAATCGATATGTTTAAAAGATAACAATATCATATAAGATTTGTAGAAACATATTGTAATTTATATTGCAGATTTATAATGCGATACTTTAAAAATCTAAAATCTAAAATATCGCATTATGTTCTAGAATATAAAATTACAAGATATATTTTAACAAATCTTATATAGTATTGTTATCTCTTAAATATATTGATTAAGGAATTTTTTTTAAATCATGGATTTTGTAGTTTTTAAAAACAAATTCGCAAAGTTATAATAAGATTACTGTGAACGAAATGTTAGTATTAGAGTGAGATATAATTTTAAATATATGTATGTTTCATTAACAATGGTATTTGTATTTTCTGAAACCAAAATTAAAACTCGCTAAACGCTTTGACACGGAAGAATTATCCTTGTTAGGAGCCAAGTTGTTGCACGAATTCCGATTTCTTTCCTGCACAGGGAACGTTATCTCCGTTAAACGAGAATGCTTTGTTAAACTGGCAACGTGATAAACTGAATGTCTAAGGATTCCTTCTCGGTTTTCTTATTCCCCACAGCTTTGCCATAGTTGTGTTTCTACTCTTTTTTTTCTCGCAAGTCGTGACGAATTCTTAGCGTGACTTCCGTCTCGTTTCTATTCTGGATGCTTCAAGTACGAGGGACCGAGATGGAATTCTCGTTATGTTGACGGATAAATAAAGAAAACTTTATTTATTTATACAATATATATGTCTGAATGAATCTTATAACAGATTGAATGGCGTATTAAATGAAAGATTAATAATAGGAAATACATAAACTTGAGCGTAAAAAAATTAACAGTCAAATTTTTGCACGATAAATATTTTTGTTTTTTTACATATGATCTTCTTGAGATCTCTTCTTGAGGTTTCTTTATCATATTCTATTCTTAAGAAACTTAAAATGCACTTCTCTTGAACAAGAATTGGACAAATTTTCAAGAATCAGAGGAAGCTTGCGAAAAATTTCGTTGCATAGAATCGTGGAAAGAGAAGAGTTGGGATGCGGTTGGGATTGGATACGTGCGAGTGACACGCGATAGGGCGGTTTTGTAGGTTGGAGAAACTCTGATGAAAAGGAGAGAAAGAGGAACGGAAGAGCGAGAAAGAGAGAAATGCGCGTAAACCTCTAGCGATTCTTTTCCATTATTCAAGCAATTTATTTTCTGAAGAGGCATCTCATGTGTTTGCGATCTAGCCAGACTTTTCACTCCGTTTACCTCCCCTTTATCTAGAAACAATAAATTTTAATGGAATTCTTCTACTAACAAGCAAAATAAAAAATAATTACGATTACTTAATTTGCAATTCTGTTTCTACTCCGGTAAAGTGGATGCTTTCATTTATTCTATTATTTTTATCAAATAATTTTTGCCCGAAAGGACGTAATTTACAAGTCATTTAGATATCAGGAAAATGGAATCATAGATAGAATATATTCGTATATAAACATTTGATTAATGAAAAGGGGGAGACATTTCTCTTTTAGGGGACATTATTGCCCTAATCTATGAACTCGCTACTCCCCCAGCTCATTCATAGTAAATTTATTTCTTTTGAAGGCTGATGATACATATTTTTTCTGGTTATTGGAAAATTCACCCTCTAGTATCTCTGGGCTGTGTTAAGGTAGCGCAATGGCGGTTGGTGCGACCTATCGGCCGACAGGATGACGAATAAGTTTCATTCTCCCATGAGTCCTTTTGAAAGGTATCCACTCGTATCATAGATATGTTCTTCCATTCATTGCTCCCTCAGGTATTTTTCGGAGCGAAAACTGAAGGTGGAGCCGGCATATTTATTCATTCTCTTTTCATCCCTGTGTCTAATTTTCTATTTTTGATTTTAGTACAAAGCTAATTTACTTCGATTAGAAATAAATCTGAAAATTAATTTTCTTAATTTGTAATATTATTCAATTATTCAGAAATAAAATTTCGTTTCACATAGAATACTTTCAATTGCTCCAATTTAAAGTTTTATTAAAAGTTTATATTTTTATAAATTTGATATAGAATTTAAATTTGAATATATTAGAAACATTTATAAATAATATAAATAATATAAATTTGAAACATAAATAGAGATTTAGAAATTGAAACATAAATAGAGAAATATTTTTCGATTTATGTATATAAAAAATGTTTTTTTAATGAAAATAAATATTCCTCTGTAAGTTGAGTTTTTATACGAACAAATAATACATTTCTCTGGAAAAAGTTAGAATAGATAAACTATAGTTTTATTCTCTTTTCTTAATAGAAAATAAAATAATTGTAAAAATAGCTACTCTATAAATGATACATTTTATAGAATTATTATTGAAGAGAAATTGTTATTGATATTTACTGTATATCATCCAAATAATTATACACTAATAATATAATATTTTTTATTTATTTAATTTATAAAATAGAAATGAAAAAAACAAAATTTTTCTAACAACTCAACAATTTTTTATCTATCTTCTTTACTTTACAAGATAGAATTTAATAAAAATTTTAAATAAATTAATTTTTAATAAACGTTCTAACTGAACTCTTCTCTCTTTCTTTTCAAACAAAACTAGTGTGGAAAATGTGTCATGTATTTTAACTTTTATATAAATCTCTGATTAATAATAATCGGTTTCTCTATAAGTCTTTCCAAAGAAATTTTAAAATTATTTCAAATAAACAAAGTTATATAACATTTATCTATAGCAGCTATTAAGATCTCAGTCATTGACTATAACATTGAGAAATAATACGTTATTCTATCTGGTTCAGCGTTACACACAATTAATTCGATTATCTTATGTACATTTTCTGAATCTGTGGCATCCAAAATTGAATTCCCCGAAATTATACTGATTTCAATCCCCGCAATTCCAATGTCGCTTTCCGGGTTGCATTTTCCACTCGAGAGATTCGCCCGATCGAAACGGACTAGCGAAATCTCGGACAAGATTCCAGTGCGGACCACTTCCGCGGAAACAAAGGATCAGCGGGTGACGTCTCGCCTTGGTCGCATAGGAAATTGCACAGTTTGAAATGTCGAAAGTTTTTCCGATGGGTGATCTAACAGAGTCGGAGCCAAGTCGGGCCGAAAATGCGCCTCTGTCCGCGTTTGCTCGCCCCGTGGATATATATGCTTGTGAAACGTTCTCGCTTTGATTGATTCAAGTTGGCAGCGACGATCGGGATGGCCGATCATTCTGTTCTTTCTCGATGGTAAAACTTACCATGTCTGCAACACAGCCGCGCTTTGCCGTCAACACCTACGTCCGCCGTTATCGTCCAACTTCAGTTTGCGAAACTGTCGGCGCCCTACCGACTATTTAAACGCGAACTCCTAGAACAAGCTATCGCATCTGGCCTCAAAAGGGCGCGGCCAGCCAACCCGTAACGCTTTCGGAAACTTATTGGCCAGCTGTACTGCCATATTGCGTCTTTGGGAACATCCGTGTTGCTCTTTTGGTATCTGGCTGCCACGAATTAATTCAGAAACTGTTGCGGTAACCGGCCCAACTTTCCGTCGGATTCAGATTGCGGATTCTGATTCCGTATAAATATACGGCTCACTATATATTGATCGCAGATTTTGTGCAATTTCCATTATTCATATTTAGATTACACTATCAGGACACTTTTTATTCAGTTTATATATTGTATTTTTATTTATAAAAATATATTAAAATGACAAAAAGCATATAATAGAAAATAATCTTCTCTTACTGGCTTTATCGTTTAACAATTTATTTTATTTCTGATTTGCAAAAGAAGCGCGAGTGAATAGCTATTTTGCAGAATCCCGATAATATTTCAATGTAATATTGCAGTAACTAAATTCGGAGAACCGAGTTCACCGTTACGTTAAAATGAATTAAGTCTTATCTATATCTCAAGCGACTTCAGCGAGAATGAAAGTCGATTTTGGTAGCAACTCGCTAAAGTTTGCCGATGGATAAGAATGCACCCGTGGCCAGGGATAAGGGACGAGAGGTAAAAAGCGAGAAAGTTAATAAAGGACCAGTGTATTCGAAAGTTTAGCGCCTACGAGATGGTCCGTGGATCTCGGGATTTAAGACCGAGTGGACCATCCGTGAGAAAACGATAATATAGTTTTAAAGAGCTTCAATATAGCTCGCGAACGGTAATGCGCGAAAGGTACTGCGCGAACTTTATGAAATTAAGGAGGCGGAAGGCTGCAATATTGATAACGTCGCGAAGTCGACCGTGATAAGTAGTTAATACCCGTCTGTGCAAGGCTCTCGGATGCGAGACAAGTATTTCGACGACGCGATTAATGCTCTTACGTCGAAGCCCCTGAGAAATGATCCCGCGAAAGAAATATCGACTATTCCTCACACGTATAACCCATTTCTTCCAACTCTTATCCTTTTTTCACGAAATATTAACCTATTGTCCTCGGAAGTATCTAGGATAGTGTGGCA